CTCTATTCCCCCATCCTGCAGTTAGCCCTGATATGAATCCTATTGAGAAGTGCTGGAGGAGAATAAAACAAGCTCTCCATAGGCGCCTAAGGCAGCCAACAACTGAGGTTCAAATGGTTGTAGCAGTATTAGAAGAATGGGACAAAATTCCTCAGGAATGGATCAATGGGCTTATTGAGCAGCAGGACTTCTGGGTACACGACTTAATTAAGCGATGTGGCTGGTCTACAGCTAATTAATTAATAAAATTCATGATTCTGATGCCCTGAACGCACGGACTTTTGTCCCCATGTTCGTAAGACTGAAGGATGACGCGCATTCCGCGCAGTATGCGCATTTTGCGCGGGACGCACGAAACGCGCGAAGGCCATTTCAAGTCACGTGTGTTTACACAGCTTTCTCAAATCTTGAAGCATCTGTCGAACTGCACGATGGGGCCTTCAACGACCATATTTCTTGCGAACAACGACGGATCAAGTGCCGATGCATACAAGATTTCATCTCTGTCTCTTATCTCATGCTTATGAGCTCTGCCGAGCGGGGCTTAAACTTCCCAACCTCGGTGGACAACGATTACCCTCGCGGTTCTTCAAACATAAAGAGGGACGATCAGCAATCAATTTTCTCGTCACTGATGATGATCATCAACGTCTTTCGAAAGTCCCGATGCGGGAATGGCAAGGATAGACGAAAAGTTTGCAGGGGTCTTTAGACTCTTTTCCAGGGCCTTTTAGGAGGTTTTGATTTGAGCCATTGGCGCAATTCGTCAACTCACCTCTTTTCTCTGAGCAGAAGCAGACAAAACAACAATATGACGTCGAGGTCCTGCTGATTCTCCTCCAAGTGAAACAGTGCAGGGAATGGTCTGCATTATTTGTACCCAGGTATTTAAATCTCAAACAGCTTACACGTGACCCTGATGGTCGCATGACAGCTGCAGCTGAAAGAGCATCTCTCATTGGATCCGAAAGAGATTGTTCGTATTTCTCGCGCTTGTGGATTCGGCCTCCCCCGATCGAATGAAGATCCGGAGACCAACACTCAAAACGATGTAACGATGCACATGGCGGGGCCATCCCTGTCCCTTCTCCGCACCCTGAGCAACTTCAACCTTCATCCCTCGAAAGTTGGCGCGACTCGACTATCCTAATTCGACAGGTGCCCCGGTATTGCCTCGGCAGCACTACGTCGTTTTACAGTAAGCTTCTGGAGGCCATTTTCTTGACATCTGATATCCATCCCTTTCCGCTCATCTCCAGCCCCTGGTCAATGAATGGCGCAAGTTGTGATCTGGAAATCGATCCAGCTGACGGGCTTGATGAGATCTCAAGACATCTGCGGTCCTGGAGATATCATGGGAGGAGAGCCACAGCGGTTGAACGATGGCGAATTCCCCTGAGGACAGGGAGTACCTGCATGGCCACTCGGCTCGTGGCGGCTCGTGGGAGGGTTTCGTACTGTACCACACCCTGTGTCTCTCGTAGTAGCACCGAGAGATCCCAGAAGAAAAAGAAAAAGGCAGATGCAAATCCTTTTGGTACGACGCCGAAATCTTGACTTTCGGGATCACATGCTGGTCGGACGTATTGCCCCAGTGGGTTTGCCATCTCTCCCTCCATTGCCCACTTCGAGCACCGCATCAGATCAGACGTCCTTGTCCAACCCCAGGTTTTGTTTTTACATAACTCCACTTCCTGCTGCTCCACACTGTCGCTTCTTAAATCATCTCCTGATTTCCCCATATTCTTGAAAAGGGTTTCCGTCTGCGACGTGGATTCGAGATTTTTCGTTCGAGGTTTACATTCGTTGGTACGGGACTTTTTTCATCATGGCTGATTCGGTTGCGCATACGGGGTCACGCGACTCGGATAAGAAGTTCGAGGCCGGAGAGAAGTACCAAGCCGAGCAAATCGAGGAACAAAGGAATTATGCTGGAGCACGTCCAACAACAGGGCAGAAGGTCAAGAGGCACTGTGGACGATTCTGGTGGTTGCATCTCCTTATTTTTTGCATCGTCTTCCTAATTATTGCGCTATGTCTGTAAGTATTCTTAACTTCCTTCATCAATGAGTACGAAGATTAACATTTCTCAGGGTATACGTCGCCATGCCAAAAATCGCTCAACATGGCGTCAACGAATCATCGATCGAATTCACTGACATTCAGTTCCTCTCCCCAACCAGCGACAGTATTGTCATAACTCAGAAAGCCATTCTACACTCACCATCTATGTACACTCCGACTCTCGACCCTTTCAATGCCTCCCTCTACCTCGTCACCAACGGCACCTTTGCCGCCTCACCAATGATCATTCTACCCATGCCACGGATTCATGCACTGCATCCGCAGAGCAATGCTAGCATCGATAACCAGAATACGACGATCGTTGACCTGGATCAGGTGACGGAGTATGCGACAACGGTGCTGACCAATGAGACGGTTACGACGGCACTCACTGGAAGAACGAAACTCCATGAGGGAAAGTTGCCAGTCAATTGGGTTAATTATAACTCGAGCACGACTTATTTGGGTTTGTCTCCCTGCTGCTGACATTGATGGGATGATGACTGATGACCGACCAGGCTTGAATGGTTTGAAGGGATTCAATGTCACAGGCGTCACCTTGAATCTTTCTGCGCCATCAGGTCAGCCAAACTTACAAGGCTTTGCCTTTATTCCTAATCCGTCTGTGCTGACGGTAGCTATGGTACGTCTTCAAGTCATCATCTCCGCGTGTCCTTGAGAATCTGACAAGAAATAGGGAAATGTAACACTCTCCCTCTCCACCGAGAAAGCCGGCGTTGTGGGCATTTCAACCGTGCCAGATATGACCATCCGACCAGGAAACAACTCTTTACCTATGACGGCAGTCTTGAATCAAACCGCAATTGTCTCCTCTCTTGATACCAGCGGAAAGGTTAATGTCACCATCACCGGAACAAGTTCGGTTTATAATGGGGAGCATTTGAGTTATTATGTGAGTTGAGGCGTGAGGAGTTGGGTTGGGGAGTGCTAATGATCAAATAGGAGAAAGCTCTTGCGAGTAATGTGTTGGTCTTGGAGATGAATGTGTTGCAGATCTTAAGCGATAGTGCTGCTGCAGCTATATCGTAAATCGAGCACTGGTCGACGACGCGGAACGACATTTCGATTCAAGTGAGGGGTTCTAAAGCAAGATTGCAATTTCTTGCTTGTCTGTCTTGAGCATTGTGGAATTAGAGCTGGTAGTAGGTTCGGAATTGGAGACGAGAAAGAATTGCGTGCTGCGAAGCTCTCTTCAAGCGAAGACGTCGCATGGTGTGAAGATACCCACTCCTTAGGAAAGAAATGAAATGTATGCTACAAGTTACATTCCTCATCCATTCCTCGTCGTGATGCACTACGTTGCTGTATCTATCTTCGGATCGTTTATACCCGGTTCAGACTGATCACTTTCTGGGACGCGGTAGAATCCGCGACCGACTTCCCGGCAAGTGCCAATATTATCTACAAAATTCTCACGGGTTGTTGATGGCTGTAATTCATCGAATTCCCGTCGTCTACGGTCTACGAACCGGATATCAGCGCGATAATCCGGCCATTGAGCAAGTTTTCTTCATCCAATAAACTATATCCGACTCTAGATCCGACAACATTCATCCGCAACACTACGCATCCTCCCTTCTATTGCGCCGTCTCACTATTCCGCACTCATACTTCCAAGACGAAAGAAAGTATAAATCCGCATCGATTTCTCGATCACTAAACAATTTCATCTTCACTTCCACATACAACAACACCACGTCCACAAAATACCAACAACAACCAAGCACCACCACCATGCCACCCATCCAATTCGGCGTCCTCCTCTTCCCCTCCCAAACAGTCGACACCGCCATGCCCCTCGACACCCTCTCCTCCTGCTCCAAACACGCCATCTCCCTCTGGGTCGCCCACGACCCCACCTACGCCCCCCTCCTCGCCCAGGCTATCGACAGTACGTCAACTCCTGCCCTTCTCTTACATCCAATCTAGGACCCGAGATCCTCGAGAGCTGTCCGTCAAAGAGAAAAGCGTCACAGCTCCTCGGACGTGCACCCCGGCTTTTGGGATTGGAACTCTATCAAAATCACATACTAACCCATCTCTAGTCGAATACCACCACATCGCCCCAACCCTCTCCCCCGTCCCGCTCACCGGCGGCTTCAAAGTCCTGCCCAGCACCACCATCGCCGCCTGCCCACCCCTCGACTTCCTCCTCATCGGCGGCCCCGAACTGGATTTCCAATTCTCCCCCGAAATGACAGCGTTTATCCAAACGCACGTCGCGGCCGGCAAGGGGCTTTTCACGAATTGTACGGGCGCCCTCCCGGTGGCGGCGACGGGGGTGTTGGATGGGAGGACGGCGACGGTTAATCATGAGGCGCTGGAGGTGGCGAGGGCGAAGTGGCCAAGGGTTAATTGGGTCAGGGAGCAGTGGGTTGTGGATGGGGGGGTTTGGACGGCGGGGGGAGCCTGTGCGGGTATGGATATGATGGCGTGGTGGGTGGTGGAGAGGTGTGGGAGGGAGGTCGCGAGGCTGGGGTTTAGGGGGTTGGATTATGTGCCGAGGGATGTGGAGGGGAGGGTTATTGTTGTTTGAGAAGGAGGAGGAGGAGGAGGAGGAGTTGTGAGTGAGGCTTCAATCTTTGGGGATGGTGTTTGTGTTTGTTTTGGTGGGAGATTGCTGTTAGGGGAAACGGGATTGTTTTGGTGAGGAGAGATCAGCCTTTCTTGAGTCTTGTCTCGAAATATTATTGCGCCACGTTCTTTTATTACGTCTGTCACTTAAAGCTTCACTTCTTGGTCTATGGATTGAACGATCAATGATGTTGGGCTGTCTATGAAGAACTCGAATGGACTAAGTCGTTACTCTACCAGAGTAGGTAGCTTTCGCTGGGGAGCAGCAGCCTTATATAGGTACATAAGTTCCAACAATTTGGCCTCCGAGCCTGGTCTTCCAACGAAGGTCAAACCGAACGGTCGACCGCTTGGCTCGAGAATACCGAGAGGTACTGTAGCAGTAGGGGCGCCTGTAATTGCTGAGGTTGGTACCATCATGTAGAATGGTTGCGTAGATACAGAACTTGGAGCGGGTAGTAACGTACCTGCCATGGCAGAGATCTCACAGATTGGTCCGTCTGTAGGAGAACAGATGATATCAAGCGACAATTCGTCCATGATTCGATACAGACCTTTCTCAGCGGCATCCTCGTGGACTTGCTTCTTCACTTTGGCGTACTCCTCGGGTGTCTGTTGAAATTCCTGTGGGCCAATGAACCATGGTTGACCTGTAGAATACGTTAGCAATAAAACACAAGTGATGTAGATCGGCTTACTTATGCCAGCTTGCAACTCGGGGTGGTCTTTGTTGAACTGAATGATATCTGCAAGAGATCTCATCTCAGAAGAAGCCAGATTTTGAAGATATGCATCCACAGTGTCGCGGAATTCACCGTCTGAAGTCTTTAGTATGTCAAGAAGGCGAGGGGTCTTGGGCAATAGACTTACTGACGATAGCTAGGAATCCACCATCGATTGTCGAAGGATGAGGAGGATCAACTGGGTATACGACAGTTCCACCAAGTCCCTTGATCTTCTCCTGGGTTGCATTGTAGGCCGTGTCCTGAAGAGGGCATTAGCGTAGCGATTTCAAGACCAAGGGAAGACTTACGATTTGATGGCGGTAATCATCTGTTGCTGTGAATAGATCTGAAGGAAGTCGCCATTTTTGGGGGTCGACAAATCCTAGCTTGTAGTCTTTCCATGTTTTGGAATGATCAACCTTCAAGTTCACCGGCGTCTTCGCAGTCTGAAAAATGACTTTCGTCACCTGCTCCAAATCCGTAACTGTTTTTGCCATGCCGCCTAATGATTCGACAGTAGGCACAATGTGGAAGATTCCTTCTGTGGACAGTGTTTGGGGGGTGATCTTCAATGCGTACAAGTTCGATCGACTGGCTGGAGTCTGGATGGAGCCATTTGCTTCGCCGCCAATTGATACTGGACTATAACCAGCTGCAACGTCGACTGCAGATCCGGTAGAAGAACCTCCAGGATTCTGGGAAAGTTAGTCTGTGAAGCTCGATATTGCGGCAGCATCAGCTAGCGTTACTCGCTTTATGGGCAAAGGGTTCATCACTGCGCTCGACAAAACCTTCGACATATGCAGACTGGCTCTGACCGTTGATAGCAGACAAGCCACCAACGCCTTCTGGTCCCCTATTACATTGTAAGAGCTGCTGTTCAGAATTGGATGGGAGACAATATACTTAGCAGAGCCAAATTCCTGCGCACAATTAGCTTAGGTCCTCGGGATATGTAATGACAACACTACCGTCACGCTTGTTTTACCGATGATTATAACGCCCGCATCTAGAAGCTATTCGGTGTCAGTGAAAAGACGTACATCATCTGCGGATGTTGAAAACCTTCTGAACGAGAGGGGCCTGTGCTTTGTGGACGGACTTTTCCAGTGCCCAAGACCCTTGCGTAGTGAGTATTCCCCACTCCGGCGGGGTGTTGATGATATCCTGCGATATTGTTATCTCTTGCCAAAGACGAATGGGTCTGTGGAATTAGGCACCTTCAAAAGGATCGGAATGCCATGCAAAGGCCCAAGTACTCTGCCTGCACGTCTTTCCTCATCCAAGAATGCTGCTCTCTCTAGGATTATGTTCTCTGGCACGATTGCTATCATGGCACGAAGCTGGGGTCCCTTTTTGTCATACTTGTCGATCTGTTGTAAAGTAAGCTTGGCCAGCTCCGTGCTGGTCAATCTTCCTGTAGCCTGAAGATTTTGAAGGTCAGCAGCCGACAGGCGGACAAGATCGATCATCTTCTCGTTGCTAGAATATGTGTGATGTAATCCAAAAACGCTGGGTCTTTGGCACTGCAGAGAGGCTGAGATGCCAATGTCTACAGCCCGAGACAAGCAAAGCGCCGGACTGACTAGTATCAATAAGGAGCGGGGAAGCATAAAGAGTGTTGGATGCTTAGAAACAAATCTTGATGGTATCCCTTAAGCTGCAAATCAGAAAACCTTTTAGTGCGGCCGCTACGTAGGTTTGCTCAGCGAGCCAGTCAAATATTCAGGATTCGCGTGCCAAACCTGCCATGCGGCTGTCAAGACAACTTGGTTATATTGCCTCAGCGCATTCCCCCGTTTCTCTTGTCAAGCACCCAGAAAGTCAACTCAAGTCACAGAACGCACCGTACTCCAAATGTCTTCCTATGTGGTCAAACAGATGCCAGATGCAGTCACCAAGACTGTTGACGGCCGTCAAAGCCCCGAGTCTTGGGGATCGAAGGCTGCTCCACTCGCTGTCCAGAAAGTTCAGCCTTGGAGAGAGTGGGCCGAGCCCGAGAACATTCGCACCTTCAAAGCCACTTGTGGACCTCTTCATCCAGATGTCCGTCTTCAGCAACAACGCGATGAGCATGGCGGCGCTGGGGGGGTAGATCTACACATTCACGATCATAAATCGGCATGTATGTCGTCAACTTTGAAGCGCTTTGCATGATTTGCGCTAACCTTACAAGATAGGAGGGTTGAGAGAGTAGGTTGTTTGTTACGGAGGACGAAGGATGACGGGAAGATGCCGGGAGTTGCTTTTACTTCTTGATATTGGATGTTGTATCACAGACATTTATTCAATAGCAATGATACTCTTTGCAAGCACTTTTGGTGGTCTATAAACCACTACTTCTTTCATATTTTGTGCAGATCAAGCGTGCGAATATGAATCTAAAGAGCATATCAAAGCCATTCAGTGAATTTGATGCGATTTGAGTCGGATTTCCTGTCTTTCCTGTCGTACAAACCAGCTAGCTGTTCCAAGTATTCCAATCTGCCTTGAAAATCTCCATATCAAAGGACAAGAATAATGCCGGGACAACCTTGTAGATCTCAAGTAAACTTAAGTTTTTCCCGATGCAAGTCCGAGGCCCAAAGCCGAAGGTGAATTCAGATTGTTGCATCTTGTGAAGGCGCTGTCGGAACTCTTCTTCAGTCTCGTTTGATCGTTGAAGCCACCTTTCTGGCTGGAAAGTATTCGCGTCGTCTCCAAAAATTGCTTTAGAGCGATGCAAAACCCATGCATTCATTGAGACGAGTGTGCCAGGTCTAAAGAACGTTCCGTCCGGGAGACAGAGGCCAGAAGCTGGTACTACCCTTTCCAAACCTAGTCCGACAGGTGGGTGGATTCTCAATGCTTCTCTCACAACTGCATCGAGATATGGAAGTTTCTGAGCTGATTTCCAAGAAACAAGTATGGAGAGTTTGCTGCCAATCAATTCTTGCACCAATCTTGAGTATATTTTGTGATTGCTGAGGACATAGTACAATATTGAACGCAGGGGGATCGCTATGGTATCGCTGCCGGCAACTACATTTGTGATTGTGTAACACCAAACAAATGTAAGATTATCATTCGCGTCGTTTGGATGCAGTCGATTCGCAGCAAGAAAGCGTTCTAAGAAGTCAGGCTGCGACGATGAAGGTGGCAAGTCTTGTGATTGATATTTGCCCTCCTCACGTCGGGTTATATGTCCGTGCACGAAGGCAGGAAAGATGAACTCGTCTTCACGACTCGGATGTGCTGTGCGAAGTTGTGCCCTTAAATGGCCAAGCCAGGGCATCTGAGAGTTCTGCGTATGGGTCAGACATACGATCTCACCCAACACCTTGTGCGTGGTTATACTTACTGGTGCTTGTCTGTCCGTACCTTCGTCTACACTTCGCATCAGTCATGAAGATCTTTCTCAGCTTTCACAAACCCAAAAGACTCTCCGAAAGCAAACTTGGTGATTACATCGAAGGCGACTGTGCTGCGGTAAGCAAGAGACAGTGTGCTTTTGAGGAGACAGCCTCACAGTACTGAACCCAGTTGTCCATATGGCAAGCCTTCTGCATCTGAGAATCGGTATGGGGTTTCTTTTACCAACGCCGATATTACATCGTCAATCAGAGGCTCATATTTCAGCAATGCACTCATTGTATACTCTTTCGCAATTGGTTTACGAACCTTCCGGTGGAACTTTTCGTCTTCAATCGTGAATAGCATGGGCAGCTCATCTCCGGCTGTGGGCATTCGAAAAGCGTCGTAAAAGTCTCCCTTGAAACAGGTCAGAGGTATCTTTGGCAGTGTCAAATGCTCATTCAGCACGTGCTTAGCTTGAACGACTTCAATACCTCACCTCAGCACCTCAACACCTCTAGCACCTTAGCACCTCAGTCTTTCATCACCGCTATCACACTATCTAGAATCTTATGCTCTAGCTTTGAGGTGTATTAAAGCGATAGATATTCACTCTCTAAGCGACATTGTCGAGCATCGCGCAGTTCACGGTGGAGGGTCGCAACTCTAGAGCTAGCTTTGAAGACACGAACTGAGCTATTTGCTCATGCTAGTGCAAAGGAGTTATGAAATATTTTTGTTTAATATTTTTAGTATTTGGGTTGGAAAGAAAAGTTGTTTGAGAGGTGAATTGTGTTCTTGGAATAATAAGGAAATATAGTGCTAACTTTGGATAAAATTTGAGAAAATCTCACGAAATCGTCTAAAAAGTTAACCTCGTTATTATTTATAGTATGCAGAGCCTAGCTAAGTAAGCTAGTAATAAATTGTTTTTGACGTGAGTTATTGTTTTAGTGAAGTGGGCGTTATATTGACTTTAGAAAAGACTTTAGGATTATCAAATACTGCGATTGGAACTTCACTAACACTTTTGCTTATTGGGTTTGAACTTTGTCTAGCATACAGACGCCCGACAAGCAGATTGACGAGACCAATACAGTAAACACGTGAATGTCACTGCGTAGTCAGACACGTGTCCTGTCACAGCTATCACCTGGGCGCTAGATATTCCCAAGACAGTAACTTCGGTGAGCACTGCAAGCAGCCTCCCGCAACCCTTGACATTTCCAATCAATACTGTCGCACTGCTTAGCCACGAGTCTCATGTTGCGCAGTTCCACGAATGTCGCCATTGGAAATACCAAGAGCCTTAATGCTTTTGAGCATAAATATGAGCTTTAAAATCCTATGAGAGGAAGCTTGATGTGCTGGTAGAGATTCATTCAACCTCATACATCTCCTACAATGAGCATCAATTCCGGTCTCAAAATGCCCTTTGCAAGGCGCAAAACAACATCTCGGATCCCTTCAGGCTTTCTTAATTCTTTCCAAGTCCAGAACAATCAAAAAAGCAGACACAAAAGAGGCAAATTCGGGCCCAAAAGAAGAGAACAAGTGAGCGCTGTGCGGCATCGAAGAGCTTGTCTCAGATGTTCTTTGCTCAAAATTAAGGTGAGAACTTTTTCATCAAGTATCGAGCTCTAATTAACATTCTCATCCAGTGTTCAGATGCTGAAATCTGCACTACTTGCAAACAATTAGCTTCAATTGCGCACGCCTACGAGAAACACACAATGTCCTTCTCCGGATGTATCAGAACTAAGCTGTCGGAAGTCAGCATTTTCGATCTATGTGAGATTTTCCGCTTGTTCCATACATCCACTGAGAGAGTATAGACCTTCCTTCAGATGAGATACGTTCGATAATGATGGAAAACGCGAAGAGGCTCGCCTTTTCGAAAATCACCCTCACATTCGAGTCCGCTATCACATGGGACTTGGGCATCCTAGTTGACGAAACCTTTGACTGGTTGAATGGCATCAAGATCTCTGACACGAGCAAAGTTGGTATCTTGTCATCCCCAAAATTCACGGACCTCATCAAATCAGCCGCTCCACAACTGGCTCAAACCAACTTTCAGCTCATGATGTACGCTATTTCCCTCGCTTATAGCCGACCTGCCAAACACGTGTTGAGCATTGCAGACATCCATAAAATTGGATGTATCGCCGGCCACGAGCTTTTGAAGGCACTCGAACAGTGCATGAGGCCTCAATCATTGAATCATTGTTCCGCAAATGATTTACGAGCTCTCTTCTTGATGGTGTTTGGAACAGTTCTAGCAGTCGGGCTACTGCAAGACTGACACCGAGCTCCACGAAGCTGAAAGCATGAAAAGTCATCTTTGCCAAATATTGGTACATTATATGATTTTTCTGGCCTCACGGCTAGGATTATTGGAATCAAGCAGATTCGATCAGTTTATGCTCGAAGCGGCCTCGTCTAGATGGCACAAGCAAGGAATGTTCGACTGGCGGGCAAGTAGTCCCAACGACACGCATTTAGTTCCTGCCCAAACAGCGATTAGCTACCGGTGTCCTAGCGTCAAGGCACAGAGCGGTGCTGATTCAGAGAGAAACATACCAATGTTAGAAGTCCAATTTTCGCTGAAAACGACAGAGGTCGCCGACCCTCTAGTTAATTCGTCGCATGTATTACAGCTTTCCGAGACCAAGACCGCAGATTCGGACGCCCAGACTCACTCCTACAACCCTTTCAATGGGCAGAGCCAGGCTCATGATTTGGGCGCAACGAATGGCGAGAACGTGCCTGCCCTCTGGATCAGCCAAAGAGCCACCCCAGGAAAAGCAATACAGAGCGTCGAGGAAAGTACTTCTGATATCTCCTCTACTTTGCCACTGGCCCTTGAACAGTATGCCTCGACTCCTATATCTCTCGAACGGGATGAAAACCTGCAAGTGTTCGATTCCGATTTAGAAGAGAAAGACGAAGTAGAGGAAGATCCGTGTTCTTCTTTGCATAGAAGCATGTGGTTCAGAAATGTATCAGCAACTCAATTTCCTGGACATGAGTGCAATCAAGTTTCTCGTTATAGAACTGTAACTTGCCCCTTGTCATTATCAACTGATAATTTGCTAACAGTAGTTCAGTGCTACACTTGTGGTGCGAACCCTCGCGGAGTATCATCATGCGATGAGTGTCTAGGTAGTGGGTTAGTGTTACTTGGGGAGAAGAAGTATTTGCTGGTTTGAAAGCCAGTTTCAGTTTCCGACGACGTGTTCAGAAATTGGCATTACTGTCGCTACAGCTCAATGAAGAAATTCGAAGTTTCTGAGAAGGAGTTTTTTTTTGGGGGGGGGGGGGGGGGGGGGGGGGGGGGGAGGGGGAATCTCCTTGGTGGTAGGCTAATGGTTGGCGTACCACAGGTCAGTATTTCTGGGTTGGAGGGCAACATCATGACTACCTAAACTAGTCATGATGCCGTGAACCCATAATGATGTAATGAAATAATACATGAAGTTAGCATTGCAAAGCAGTATTATATAGTGTAGAGGTCCGCACTTCATTCGAGATAATTCACCAGTATCTCTAAATCAAGGATCAAGTTATGAATTTGGGATATTAGCAATACAAAAGTTGTTGAACATCGGTTTTCTCATACGTCTCATCCTTCTCTTTCACTAACATCCACTGTTACAAAACACATGGCTCCTAGGCATCATCATAAGTATAACAAAGGAGGTCACCCTCCGTGATCCAAATATCTTCCAGCGTTGTCTCGGCCGGCATCAAAATCCCATCAGTTGGCAAAATACTATCCATACTCAACCAAGGCGGACCTCCGTTCGGAAACTGATCATAGTCCGTGAAATTCTGCACGCTCCCGCCTTCGAACGCATAAGTATTATTCGGGTGGTGATTCTGCCAAAGCCACCAAACTCTATCGACCATCTATTCACCCCAATTAGCCCAATTCTCTTCTTCCAAAGACAGAAAGAGGGAGACAAACAGCATGGTGCATCCAGAACATCGGCTCATTAGCACTAAAAGTAGGACTCGGTTCGTCATCGAAACATGCCTCGTTCGCATCCTCAGGACAATAGCCCGCCAAATCCCCTCCTAGAATCTCGTGCACGGAACCATGCGGACCCTCAAATCCTTCCATATATTTCTGGAAGCCCTTGAAATCGCCTGTATAGTTCGCGATCAGGGCATTGATCTTCGCGGGCGTGAATGTGGCATTGGCGTCGATGTCTGGGTCGGGAAAGAATGAAGAGCCGGCGTCCGCGCTGTAGGGCACTAGAGTGAAGTTTCGGCGGAGACCGTGTGTAGTGGGGTATGCGAGGGTGAAGTTGGAGGAGAAGCCGCCGGTGCCGACTACGAAGTCGTTGGAGGCGATGCCGACGGGTTGACCAAGACCTGATGAGGCGTCGTCGGACCAGATTGTGCTGTCTTTGACGTTGGCGGCGTCTGGCAATGTTAGTCGGGTGGAAGTGTAAAATGAGGGGGAAGATACCAATCGTCCAATTCCAGTAAGGTGCTACGCCCGTATATCCGCAATCGTTCTTCAGTGCTTGGGTGTAGGACCAGACAAAATAGCGATGAAATGGAAAGAAAAGACCTTCGATAGGTCAGTAATGTTTATCTTTCTGTGGCATCCACTTACCAGTGAAGTGAATGGTTGGGTTGAGATCCGAATGCACGTATGTATAATCATCGTAGTAAGAACTATTCGATGTGATTTTCGCAATTGCGGCAAATTCTCCCACGGTTGCTACTAGCGAGCTATTGTGAGGAAGCTCGGCCATGCACTAAAAGATGGTTAGTTAATTTTCGAGAAAAAGATCGAAAGTCTCACCTTGACAGCATCGATCCAAGCAGTCTGCTCATCTGTGGTGAAAGAGCGCCATTCCTTGCGAACCTCGATGGAAGAGCATGCACCGAGAACATACGAGATGCAGGCAGCGAAAGAAACGAAACGACAAATTGCCATCATGAGTGAAGTGAGGCAAAGTAGAGAATGAAGATCTTGAAACGATGGATGCTGATGTCAAGAATCCGAATGCGAGTGGCGCACCTCTATATACCAGTCCAGCCATTGTGGTCGGATATCTCTTCTCGACTACAAGTCTGGTACAGTGAAAGGCACCGTGAAGGCCGCGTACGTGGGAGACGAGACGGGAAAGCTAGGTGAGTGCACCATGAGTATCGAGCAAGTCACAGCTCGGTCCGGCCTGTCGTGGTGCTTGCGATGCAGGTGCCATTGATCGTCCATACAGTGGGCATGCAAAGTAATGACCTGCTGATAGGAAATTCAACGCGGTCAATGCACTTGTGGGGAGTGGGGGCGTAGTATCGCGAAGTCTTTGAGGCTGGAAAGAAAGCTTAAAGTTAGACCTGATCCAAGCAATTTTTTTGGCCTAATTCGATTATTTTTGGCAGCTCGGACGGTTCCAAAATCCAATCCGGCGCGTTTCCAGATAATGTATATCTACTACGCAACTACTTGTTAGGCTAAGGCCTTCTAACGACTTAGTGGCGGCACCTCTTCTTGACTTTGCGGCTGCTAAGAAGAGGTGGCGCCCCTAAGATCCCGAATATGTGGACTAGCAAGCTTCGTGTTCGCCTTGTGGACAGGAAAGTACATAGAGATGAAAGCAGCAAGATAACCGGCTGCTTGCCAGCTGAGATCAAATACAGTCGGAAGAACCTCTGCGGTATTGGAAGGCTAGGGCCAAACGCTCGAGCATCCTATGATAGACGTTGGACACCCCAAGCGACAGAGAGACATGGATGCTACCGTAGTCAAATGATATGGGGGTAAGGTTGTTAGCGGCAGATGCGGCTGCCGCTAGGATCTTGCAACGTAAGCATCCGAGACGGCAGTGAAAAGATCAGTAGGCAGATATCCACAGATGTGGATGACTCCAGGTTAGTGCAGTTGTGAACGCAGGGCTGTAGAACTTCCTGAACTGTCTAGCTTAGGCGATACCAACTCTCCGTGCCGCAAAGATATGCTTGAATATTCCGCCACTAAAAATGACAGTACCGGACGAAAGTTTGAGATCCTAGCAGATCGGAATAACTTTACACAACATAGCTTAGCCACAAGAATGACAAACAGGCCGTGTAACATGCACGTCCCAGGAGTTCTCTTGTCCTCCCGGCAGGAAGATGTTGGAGTCCAAACGTCCGCATAGAGACAGGGTGGAAATGGGAACAAAACACCCCGGATTGCAGATGTGAGACGTTGTCGTCACCGTGCTCCTTATCAGAAGGATCACTATTTATGGAAATCCACCCAATCTCATAGGGAGAATTCATCCCATGTTTCTTCTCCAATCTCGTGACAATGTCAACAGTGCAGAATGTGATAAGCAAACCTCAATATGACGACGACACCGGGAGAGGGAGCAAAGCACAGGCCAATTAATGTTGCGGCTGACGATCTTAATGGAGAATATTAAGCATGCGACGCGCGGAAGCTCGTCCTAAGCACCACCAGAAATTCCCCGCCACGTCTTCGTCTGCACTGACAGATAGAAAAAGGCATCAGCTCCGAGAAACATAAAGTGGATAATCATTTTTGTGGAAATCCATCATCGACGAGTGGCTGAAGCAGACAATTGTCTGAAATCTCCAGGACCCCGCTGTATGGTCCACTAGCGAATAGACCTCCCGCTGTAACGCAAAGCCACCGAAACCTTGTCTGAAATGTGGGGTCATTACTTGTAAGCTATGAAGATCAATTGAGCTGGTTCGTGCTCAAACAGAAAATATCGCAGATATTCTTGCAAAACCTCAAGTTCTGTCCGTGCTTCTATGATGAACCCTCACTGACAGAAACACACGCAACAAAATCCCAATTCGTTTCATTGTCTTGAGGCACAAGAAATTTCGATGTGCTCAGGATGCGAATGTCCCTGCCTCAGCTGAATATTCTGCCAATTTGCTGTTGACGCAAAGAATTTTTGAGGTTTCTGTCGAATCTTCAAATCGGTCAAACCTTGCTTCTTCAAAACACCACTCCATGTCTCCTAACTGGCAAACCTTGACATTGCGGTTGGATCGCATAATGATGGTTCGCTGAAAACATCGAATGCGTCTTGAGTTGCAAAAATGAAAGGTATCCTTGGTTCGAGGACCGGCGTCAGGTAATTACCCCTGAGTGAAGAAGGCAGGAGGAGCTTCGACAACTTCGCAACCACGGCAAGGTGCCATTTTCAACTGCCAACTTGGAGCTTCCTGCTTTGATTCGCTACTGCACCTCGGCTTTGTATAATCGCTTACTACGCTCGATACAATGAGTCTGCGAATCTTCTCGACGTCTTTAATCCTGAACCTGCAATGGCCATGCCCACCATACGCTTGCATTGTCAATCTGCGGTCTTATAGACAGGACACAGCCCTCTGCCAGATATCCTAAATAGAGTCTCAACGCTGGCAGTAACTCGGCTCGATCATCACTTCGCTATAGAGGACTTTGGTTGCTGCTAGAGGTACTTCGAATGGAATCCAGCAGCGTCATTCGTGAAGGGGTGCTTGCGTTTGGTAGTGGCCGGGACTGGAGCAGCCAAAAGTATGTCTCCGCAAGCTCTGCCTGCCAACGCGTAAGTACCTATTTGCTCGACTTTGAAAGTTGAGTGGGCAGTAGTCATGGCAGATTTGGAGGACTAGATGAGAAGATCCAAGAAGAGAGTTCTCTGCAAAGATTTCCAAGCACTAGAGCTCCACCACCAAGCAGCTTCAGGATGATGCCTCATCACAGCTCAGGAAGAAAGAAGGTTGCCCTTCTTGCCACACAAGATCATCTGCCAATGACCCAACGCGTTGGACAGTTAGCTATTGACCTTAGCCAACCGACCCACTGAAGTTGGTCGGGTGTAAATTGAGGACTTCAGTGGCGTTAATATAGTGCTTCAGGCTCTTCAATTCGTGAGGTTGCAGCTCAGCATTTCGTGGAAGTATCAAGAATACTTTGCTGTGTCAAAGTAGGTAGTTGGCGGCTTTTTCAGTATCGGACATATCTGGTGATCCGATGCGTCGAGGTATTAGAGCTCAAGGGTTCTGGAAATTGTAGATCAGGTTCATTGTAGATCTAATAAGTTCAATTCGATCTTCCTCCTTCTCTCTATACCCAATAATCATGCCCGCTTTTGCCCAAAAGCTTTCGAGATCGGCCGAGACCACCTTGATCGCGCCTTGTCTTCCAAGGGCTCACTGGCCTCCGGCATAGCACTCTTCTCTCTACCCCCAAGTCTGCTACCCTTCCTCATAGCTTCATCTCTTTTCGTCTTCGCTAATTTTAACACCTCCGTCTCGAGCGCTTTTCCACCACTCCGAAGTCGAATATCGAATGGATCAGTTCCATAGCGAAGAAGTAACATCAACAAATCAGATCGGTGCGGAATATTTCCAAGAATGTAATGCCAAGCGTTGGTACCGTCCAAAGTGGCCCCGTGCTGAAGGAGATATTCCACGATTGAGAAGCTAGGCGCAGTAATTTCGAATCCGTCGCAATTGCATTCGTAATCCGTGAGCGCTATGCGAAGGAGAAAGGAGAGCTCTTGAATCCGATCTGGCTTTTGTAGGTCACTGACATGTACATTGACGTAAAAGTCAATCTGGAGTCTCACTGCTATGTGGAGAAATGATCTGATGTTAGTCTCTCCAGAGAGCGTTGACGGGCAATTGCTATAGAGTGCTGGTGCCATGGTGCTGTTATTGTTCGAGGCAGCCCTGGTTATAATTTCGTCAACTATATCGTTGACTTCTTCTAGGAGACGAAGTTTGACCTCCGTAGCGTGAGGGCCGTGACGGAGAATAAGCCAAATACAATGTATCACTGCTATCCAAAACTCTCTAAGGTCCCGCATTTGGGAGGCGTATTCCGCCCCAATGCAATACCTCGAATTTGTGGGTAGTATTTTAAGGTGAGCTACGTGTGATACCGAGAGACGCATGGCTGGATCGAAGGAAGGACTCGTTGCATGAAGCAGCCTTTCCCAAACATCTATTTTCTGGAGGAAATCTTTAACAGTACGGTGTAGATATCCGACCGTAGCGTTAGGATCTGTTTTGAAGTCGATCCCTTGAGGTTCTAACAAGCCTTTACAACAGGCATTCAATCGTCGTCTCATAAGCTCAGCTCTTGAACTAATCGTTGCGATCGATACAGGCCTTGTAAGCATCTTGAAAATAAAATTCGGATCGTCCTCGTCAGCATATGATAGTTCAAGAATGCTGATTGACTCCGGTGAGATTCGCACAATTTGAATTAGCTGCGAAATCCTTTCTAGGTCAACCGAGTTCAAAATTCTCCAGAAGAGATCCTCCAGATCTGATGGAAGCAAATCTAGCCGCTTTTGTAGATCCGAAAGTCGGTCTCCATCAGTCAAACCTTCTGACAAGGATAGAACAACAAGAGTTACCCAGAGGAAAACGCCACATGATTTCATTGACACGTTATTGATGAGAGTAGAGGCTGAATCGGGATTCCCACGTTGCAGTGCCGCGAAGCCGAGATTGCCTGACAGCTTTGAGGCACAATAATGTTGAATGTCCTTATAGGTAATGTCTTGAAGCCTAAGACTTGGGAGGGTGTTGAAAGCGTCTTCAAAAATATTCCAAGGCCGACTGGAAACACATATCTTTACATTCGGACTTAAAATTGATTTGATGAAATCGACAAGCTTGACTTGCTCCGAATAAGTACCTTTGAATTCATCTAGCCCGTCGATAAGGATAAAAATCTTAAACGAGCTTGTCGTCAATTCGTGAAGGAATAATTTGAATGCCGACAGTAATTCTGTGAAAGTCTGCCCAACGAGTTGTTGGCATTATAAAATCCCAAAATACTTAATGAAAGTTGGGAGGTTCGAATGTTATTATCAGACAACAAGAATAATAGAATCGTGACAGGTCTTGAAACGGCATCCGGGCTCTCACTACTCAAGGAAGAAGCAACAAATTGATATGGGAATTGGCCCTACCCAAGGTTCTTCCCAAACTATTTGATCGCCAAAAACCACGAAAGTTTCGAGTCGACTTGGAAATATTAAAGAAGCGAGATGAGGGAAGGCGCCCAAGGCATGGTGTATCAGCGTCCGAAGAAGTCCTTGCTGCGTCATCTGGATTTCGTTGCCTCCGGAACACCAAAGTAAAATCCAGTCAAATAGATTTTTTTGCCTCCGCTCCAGGCCGAGAGGCATCTTTTCGTTCTCTCGTCGTTTTTAATGTGCTTCATAAGTGTTGACTTTCCTGAACCTGGTTTGCCTGTAATCCAGTAAAGGCTCTGGTCGCTCTCGAGAAAATGTACGAAGTCAGACCACTTTAGATCAGGTTTCGAGAAAATCCACTGAAACGTTTCACCGTATGCATCCGGAACGCTCTCAGAGCGAGTTTCCATGTTGATATAGTGAAGATGAGCAATTAGTCGTTTGCGAAAACGTTCCGCATGCTTCTCGTAGAACTGGTTATGAGTGTTGATTGGTGACGCGTTAAGGCCCAAGATCTGCTTGTCATTCCTGTTGCTGCTGCGATTGATTGCTTCAATGAGTTTTGCTTGCCATCTGGCAGTTTGATCCATTTGCTTGAGGATATGTTGGGTTAGATCTTGAGTCACTTGGAGGGATGTAGAGATGAGTTGACCATGACTGGATTGATCGGCCTGTATATGATTGACCTGTTTCCTGGAAGTGACTTGTGAGCTAGCCCATATTTGAAAGGAAGAAGATTACTGCACCGGACGGAAACATTATAATATAGGGAGATTTGTTGACGATAGCTCTGGAGCTCTTTTTCTAATAGCTCGATCTCCTTTGAGTTCCACACCGTCAGAAGAGCACGGCCAAAGCTGTCCCAAAAGCTGTGAGTCTTCTGGGCCGTCAATCTATCAAGTACTGAGATTAACTTTTCTGCCACAACGGTGCAATTGCCGCAAAGCTCTAGCAGCTGCGCATCATGGCCTGAGAGCTTGCCAATGCTAGGAGTTGCTTGCTCCGTCGATCGTATTAAGTCATCGCTTAACATTTCAAGCTGGTAATGATGGTTTGGAGATCCACAGTGGCCTTAGACTGTTCCGAAACTGACCTGTAGATCTTATAAGTGCTGCGGAAAAGCTGTTGGCTAAAGTCGAGGACTTGCAGCACCGATGAAGCGGCGCCTAGGATGCTGACAGGGTCCATGGTGGCGGTCTGAACTCGGAACTGGCACAGACGTGTTACTGAACTAAAAGAAAGGACATATAACTAAGTCGCAGTTGTCCAAGATTGTATGCTGTGTGTATCAAGACCCTCGATGCACTGTCAATGGTTGCACGTGATGCTATTAGCCTTGTCAGCAGCTACGTGGAGGATTCCAGATAATGGAGATTCTGTGAATAAGGCGAGCGTTTCGCTTCGAGACAATAAATAATCAATGTGTTGTGACAGTCGTGAAGATTGATGAGTGAAGCGTGAAGATATGATATGATAAGTAGAAGTGAGGTTGCAGCTGTGGCTATGGGGTGGCGAAGCGCGGCTTAGCTCCCTTTAGGTACTCTCCAGGGCGGAATAAGCTGCTGAAAATTTTGATGGTTTTCAGAGGTAGCTGTTGCTTACTTCGAGCCCCGAAACGAAAGAGCTGTCTGGATTAAGATTAGCGCAATTGTCACGGCTGCAACCCACTTCTAAGAGAGCTTCTACTTGGCCAACGTGCTCGAAAGGTTTCAATCGTGCTCGTCCGGGAACTAGCGATAGATCACAGTATTATCCGGAACTGTACCTGTTACATGTCTTCTCTCTACTAGCAACGGTCCCAGTCGTTCTGCACTGCTTGCTCGCGACCTCAACTGAATGGTCGCAGGTCAAGAAATGCAGGTTGAAGTACCTCCACATCTGGCTAGAGACGGCCGGTGAACACGGATGTAGAGAGACCTCCGTGGTTCCGCCTCGTGTATTTTCCAGCATCCCTTGTTGAACTTCCTTCGAGTCTTTTCCAATACTCCAAAGGATCACCATGGCCGAGAATCCTCTCGTGGCACTAGCCACTGCCATGCGCAATGTTTTAAATATGTCACTTGAGCTTTTGACTGAGGAGAAATCAGGTCAAACGGCTCGATTGGATCTTATCGACATGATTCCAGACCTACAGCGGGCGCTGATAGGCGAGCAAGCCACTCTCAGGAACATGACATGGAGCGTCAGTTATTCTCATGTTCGAGACTCCTTACTGATGGTACTTTCAGCCAGTGAATCTTGTGACTTTGCAAGCAATCAATCGATTCAAAGTCGCACAGCATGTCCCGATAGATGGTTCAATCAGCTACAAAGAACTCTCCGCCCTCTGTTCCGTCAACGAGTCTCAACTCCGCCGTCTGATACGGCACGCGATGACCAATCGAATTTTCTGCGAGCCAGAGAAGGACCAAGTCATGCACACAGCTGCATCCAAACTACTCGTTGAGGATCCTAGAATGGACGCTTGGGTCTTCTTTCTGACTGACTACTTCTGGCCAGCAACGGCCAGATCTGTGGATGCTTTTCAGAAATGGCCTGGAAGTCAAAATCCCAAAGAAGTAGGAGTGTCCTTGCAATATGGCCGTGACACGACTTGGTTTGCGGAGATTGCAAGAGCGGACAGAGGAATTGAATCGTTCAGACAGGCTATGGAAATCGTTAACGACGGCGAAGGCTGGCAGGATAGTTATCTGGTTGATAATTATCCTTGGGGAGAGATCAACAATGGTGTTGTCGTTGATGTAAGTCTCCTCCTTGGAGCCTGAAAATACTGATAATATACCTAGATCGGGGGCTCGAATGGGCATACGAGTGTTGCCATCGCTGGAGCCTGTCCCAAATTGCAATTTGTTGTGCAGGATCTTCATACGGAAGGGAATCATTTGCCGGAGCTTCTGAAGACTCGCATCAAATTCATAAACCATGATATGCTCACGTCACAGCCAATCAAGAATGCCGACGTCTACCTTTTCAGGGCAGTCCTACACAATCATCCCGACACCATTGTCGTGAAAGCACTGCAATCTTTGATACCGGCATTGAAGCCCAATTCCAAAATCATAATCCAAGATTTTGGGTTGACCGATCCTGGGCAAGGTAGGCTGGCAGATGAAAGCTATGAAAGGTAGACCTCCCTTCTCTCGAATCACTTTTCCCTTGCACCTTCAAGTCATTCTTTTCTTGAGATGATTGACTTCGATAGGATGATGGACATCATGATGATGTCACTTATGAATGGAAAAGAAAGGGGACTTGAAGAATGGAAGGCGCTGTTCGAGCAGGCTGACCCCCGCTTTGCTTGGAATGGCGGCACCAGACCCGATGGCAGTCGGTTGTGGATCATTGAGTCGACCTGGGAACCATGAGCATATCCAAGCCTATGGATCTAGTAAGAGTTCTGAGGTGCAGTTTGCCTACAATCGCTCCCCTCTAGACTTTTAACTTCTTCTCCTTGAACGGGAAGAGCCACGTGACTATAGGCTTCGCAAAGATGTCTCTAGCCTCTGCCCTCAATATTGATTCGTGTAGCAGAGACTTGGAAGGTTGAGTTGGTGTGTCTAAGCTAGATCATTCTATCTCTTCCACATCAGAAACAGGTCTTGCAATACCCAGGTATCGTAAGCTTGTCACGTGAACAGCCCAGGATCTCCTCGGCATCAAGCGAGATTAGTCGATATCCGCGAATACGCCTCAGCCGTTTCATCTCGCCAACACACCTCTCGTGTCCGTGCTTCTTCTTTTTTAGATTATGGTTCCACACCAAGTGGCGCTGCAACATTTTCCACCTGTCAGAACAGACCTAAACAAGCCTCATCGTGCTGTTGAGCCTCAAAGACGCCGGGGAATGTATCAAGTATATTGCAGGACAGGCGGGGACTCATCTTACGTCTTGTCGTTTCAATCTCCTCACGATTTGAGCTCATTTTGCGAAAATGTCAAAAACCTTCTCGCGCCGTTAAGCTTATTCTTCTTTTCACTCTCTTCTTACCTTTGTCGTTCTTTTCAGAGTACCATATCATCCAAGAAGCTTTAGTCTTCGTTTCAGTCCTTACTTTCATTCTTTGTAAGAATTAAAAATGCATTTCACTACTGCTGTTGCTGCTTCCGCCGTTTTGGCGCTGGCCACTGCTAGCAGTTTGGCCGGCCAGGCAACATTCTATGGTGGCAATGTCGCAGGAGGAGCCTGCTCGTTCTCGACCTATACTCTTCCTTCTGGCATTTTTGGCACTGCTTTGTCCGACTCGAACTGGGATACTGCAGCGAACTGTGGAGCATGTGTGTCAGTCACTGGCCCGTCAGGAAACAGCATCACTGCTATGGTAAGAGCATCCTCGACAAGCACGTTCCTCACTAACAATATCAGATCGTCGATGAATGCCCAGGCTGCGGAACAAATCACCTCGATCTCTTTCCTGATGCCTTCGCTGCTCTCGCAAACCCCACCACTGGAGTCATCGACGTCACTTGGGAATATGTTGATTGCCCGATCACATCGCCTCTCGAAGTCCACAACAAGGAAGGTGTCTCGGCATACTGGTTCAGCATGCAGGTCGTGAATGCTAACCAAGCTGTATCCTCTCTGGAGGTCAGTACTGATGGAGGGAGCACTTGGCAATCAACAACGAGACAGACCTACAACTTCTTCGAACAATCTTCTGGCTTTGGAACAACGACCGTGGACATCAAGGTCACCAGCGATAGCGGTGATGTTGTTATTGTCAACAACGTGGATGTTAGCAGTGGGGCTTCTACAACAGCATCTGGCAACTTCGGTTCTTCCGGATCTTCTTCTGTCGCTACTTCATCTACTGTCGCTGCAGTTGTCGCTTCGTCGTCATCAACTCCAGTTGCAGCCTTTATGGAATCTACATCAGTCTTCGAGACGACTACCTCTTCATCTGCTCAGGTCACCGGCTCAGCAGGAGGTGTGTTCCAGGAAGTCAGTTCCAGCTCATCAGACGCCACGACCAAGCACACCACTCTGTCATCCACCACGACACTTTACAAAACCATTACCGTCCCAAAATCTACCTCAACATCTACGACTTCGTCACCAACCATCACAGCTTCATTCAATTCCTCGCTCGTCGCCTACTCCACTCCAGTCGCAAACTCTTCAACCGCTCTCCCAAGTGGGTACTCAATCAGCGTGTTGACTATCTCTATGTGCAAGCCTACGGTCTTGTACAGCGTCTTCCCAGTCCCTTCTTCGAGTTCGACTTCTTCGCCGAGCCCAGCCGCCACAGGAGTTGCGTCCTACTCCGCCAACATCACGTGGGTAACCTTTATCTTCCCCTTTGTCTTCGCTAATAATGTTCTCAGTCTCTCCGCTCCAACCTCAACACCAACTGCCTTCACGGGCTCCGCATCTAGTATGCAAGTCTCACTTGTCCTCGTTGGCTTTGCCGGCCTCATTACTTTCTTGATCTAGATCCATCATGGGATGGTTACTTTAGGGGGTGTTTTTGGTTTGGTGTGCTGCGATGAGCCACGATATACTTGATGTATTTGCTTTAATCTGTATATACTTATTTTACGTTCTTGGGTCGGGATGTCTGGATTCCTCCCGTCGGTGGCACTTTGTGAGATATTTAGGTAGCTGAATGGATGTTTGCTGCTGCATTTGTGTTGAAAAGGTTCAATCTCTTCTAATTCCCTCGCGCGTTCCCTTCCTTAAGTGCGGCTTTTGATATGTTAGTGGCTAGGATTTTGAGCTCTGTTGCCCATTCTATGTATGCTTGTCATGCCTAGTCGCACGAGTTAGAATATAATGTCAATATATGAATGGCTGATATATGTCTCAAAGACACTTGCATACTACTTTAGCGACTTGGTAACTATTTCAGACTGTAGCTCCTGAGAGCACTTTCCAGCTTCCAGTGCAGTTCGAATTGCCATCGATTATTCTCCAACCTCCCGATCTTCTTCCCAATGTACGTAGCGCACAACAGTCCAGTGCCAGGTAGCATGCCTGATTCTCTTTCCCCAGATGTAAAATGGAATCCACTATATTAAGCACACGTTAGAAAGTATCATTGAAACAAAATGATAGTGAGAGAAAACTTACAAATATTAGGACAGCAGCCGATATACCCGCCATCGCGCCATACGCATTGAGATACCCCGACTTCGCAACCCAAGGATTGGTATAAAATGACAACAGAAACCCAAACGCAGCTATTCACACCGTCAGTAAGCATACCATCATCCTCCAAGAGTACAAGAGACTTACATTTGAACGCCATAACAGTCAAAGTCACCTCTCCCGCAATCGGCCTATAAGCATCAATAACATAAACCAACGAAACATTCGTCGCCTGCACAATCGAGAAATTTAACAAAGCCAGTCCAACAGTGGGACACATCCAATGTAACTGCTTCTGGATCCCCACTCCATACAGAATCAGTGCCAACGGTGTCGTTATCAGACTGATCATCAAAGCAGGTAATCTCATCTCTGGCTCTCGAATTCCGCCATTGCGTTTGGTGAAGAAATCTGCCGTCGCATCACCAAAATTTCCACCACAGAAGATTCCGATGAGTGCTCCGATGATGGCCGCGATGAAACAGAGCCCAGTTTGCCAGGCTTTGAAATCGTAGGTTGATTGGTATGCTGATGCGACGTTTGAGGTTACTGCCACGATGAAGCCAATGGTCACAGACTGGACAAGAGAGGACCAGAGGACGGGAGGCAGGAGAATGAGGCCGAATGGTCTGAAGAATAGTTTCCAGAAACTCTCGGAAGTGTAGGTCCCTGAGAATATGGCGAGTCGTTGGATGTATGACTTCTTGACTGGGATGTTGGTTGCTGCTTCATGGTGAGTTGCGCCAAGCTTTTCGGAGGGGAGGTTATCGGTTAGGGGTTGGTTACTGTCGCTGTCGGTCTCCACTTCTCGACGATAGTTCGTTTCGGGGAAGGTGAAGTATGCAAGGACAAGTGTACCTCCGACTAAGGCGATGGCAGTGTAGTAGATGTATCTCCAGTTGTGATCAATTGTTATCAGTCTGTTTCATGTTAGTCATCCTTCTCATGGTACCAAATATTGGGTTCGTACCCTGCGATGATGATGCCTCCTGATACTCCAGACACCAATGCTGCGCTGTACATTCTAGGAGAGAGTCAGCTTGTGCACCTATGAAGATATTGGGTTTCTTACGCCATGATCGTTCCTCTTTCATGCAAAAAGAAGACATCAGCGATGGACAATGGTGCCATCGTCTCTGCGGCTCCGGCTGCGAAGCCCATGATGATTCGAGCGGCCAAGAAACTGCCATAGGTGTATGTGCACGCTGCCCAGATTGCGCAGGCTAGATACAACGTATAACTTATCAAGTATATAGGTCTTCGACCGTATTTGTTGACAAGTGGCATCCACTAGGTGATTGCTATGTCAGCTCATCTCTATTAACAAAACAGAGGTTGAGTGACTCACGATTAAGTTTCCTGTTCCTTGGAGCAGAGCAGTCGTGGTGAAGAAGTACGCCGTCTTCGAGATCGCAGGAACTACTGCCATTGTGGGGAAGAACTCCATAGCTGTTTGGACTATTGCAATAGTCTAAGAGAAGGATTAGTTTCTAGGCCCTGCCATAGACGTGAAATACTGACAGGTCCAGCAGCTAAAAAGTTGCACATAAACATCGCAAGGCATATCACAATTGCCATGTACCATTTGAAAGACTGGCTCCTGCATCGTTGTCAGGGTTTGAGGAAGGAAATTGATTGTCTCATGGCATTACCAATTCAAGGGATCATTAGCTATTGAAAAGTCAGCAACATGATCGAATTTTCCAAGGAGAAAGTTATGTTACTCACGATCACTCGAAGGAGTTGGCACTAAAATGATCTCATTCGTATGCTCATGTCTGTGACGAATCGTCCCCAAGGTCACAACGCGCTTCACATTGGAAGGCTTCTCGACGTCCATAGCGCTATCCGACGGGACGGGTACTGGCTGTTCAATCCCAGCAGACATCGTGGCTATGATCTGATTTTCCGGAAGGTACTGGCTAATGTCGAATGTTTTGCGAGATGTATCGCAGATGTTGGATGATCGCTCAGGAGAGAAAGAGCTCTCTTGTATCCAGCCCCAGCCTCGACTGCTCTATTAAATCAAGAGACGCAGTTCGCTTAATGCCCCGGACTCCATCCAATTTCTTGCGGGGGCGGCAAGGCCCACGCTGACCCCTGTTGGTATCGGGATGTGGGGGATGCCCCTGCACTCTGCCACATCAACGCTTTCCTCCACATGTCTCGGGCCAGTAATTCGATAATGCTCTTACTGTAGACGGATAAGATATTATCAATCCTAGCGTGTTGCGTCGTGTCTTCGCTAGGCAATATTCTGCAAGTGCGTGTACGGTGCAACACCCCGCATTGACATTCGGAAACGAACTCTAATCTGTACCGATGTCCGCAGGCTGAGACGAAAGCCGATGGAGGATGGAAAGTTCCGCTGATGGGTGTGTTGTACCGATGTCATTCCTAATATCGGGTTGAGGGTTTTTCCAAGTCAATCTCCTTTCTTCCGCTGTCGAGGTTGATCACGTTATCATAGGTGACGAAGTACTTAGCCGTTGTTTAACTTGAGGGTATTGATAGAGATCAATATTCCTGTCACCGATCGTTAAATTTTGGGCTTCAATTTCTATCCATTGTTCCACCATGGGTTCTGTAGAAGCAGACTTCTCTTCGTCCGTCATATGGAAGGATTCGCCAAAGTACGAAGAAGCTCGAGTGGGGAGGGTATTCAATCATAGACGACCTGATCGATATCCTCGGGCCGTAGTCGAGGCAACTTCAGTGAAAGATATCGTGAATGCAGTGTTGCTAGCCAGAGAGCTGAATGTACGAGTGTCGGTTCGTTCAGGTGGCCACAGCTGGGCTGCTGTAAGTGGTTTTTCTCCAATCATAGTTCACGTGCTAACAGTAGCTCTAGTGGTCTGTTCGAGAGGATGCTGTTCTTGTCGATCTAGGAAAGTTCAGGAGACTTGAGTACAATGAAGAAACGTCCACAGTGACAGTCTCTCCAAGTACGACTGGTCGTATTCTCAATGGCTTTCTGACCACGAAGGGGAAGCTTTTTGCAGGGGTAAGCAGTGCAATCTAAGTTGAAATATCATGTACTGATTTATCAAGGGTCATTGTCCAGATGTCGGACTAGGAGGGTTTTTGTTGCAAGGGGGCATGGGCTGGAATTGTAAAGTAAGTCCAGTCCTCCTTGCTGACCGTACCAATGACTGATTACTCTCTACCAGAACTGGGGTTGGGCGTGTGAGAAAATTAAAGCAATAGAAGTAGTCACAGCAGAAGGGAAAGTCTTGACTTGTAACAAAGATGAAAACACATGTTTGTATTGGGCCGCTCGAGGTGCTGGACCTGGGTTTCCGGGAATCATTACGGCATTTCATCTGGAAGTCAGAGACGCTTACTCATGCATGATGTCTTCTACCTTTCAGTGGCCAATTTCAAAGTATCAGGAGGTCATGGATTGGGTCGTAAAGGTGAGAGAAGACCTCTCAAGCGGTTCATATCATAGAGCTAATCAACATAGATTGCCCCTCAGTGCGATGAATCCGTGGAGGTCGTCTCCGTTGGACTTCGCCCAGATCCAACCAAAGACCCAATAATCCTCGCCGGCTTCCTCTCTTTTCAAAATTCAGAAGAAGCAGCCAAAAAATCGTTGTCGGTTGTCAACGAAACACGCCCTGCCGGGACAATCATGGAAGCAATGTGTTTGCCAACCACGCTTGAGAAAGAATACTGTGCGCAAGACCTCGCTAACCCCCATGGACACCGATATACCTCTGAAAATGCATACATCGAGAACGATGCAAACGTTTCAGAGGTTCTTCGGGAAGCATTCACCACCCTACCAGAAGGCACCAAAACTTTTGCGTTGTACTTCGCCATGAACCCTTGCTCGAGAAGAGAACCTAGTGGCATGGCATTGTCTATGCAATCAGATCACTACTTTGCGCTTTACACCGTCTGGGAGGACGCAAAAGACGACGAAAGATGCCAAACTTGGGTGAAGGATGTAATGGCTGGGGTCGAGAAGCACAGTGTTGGAGCTTACCTTGGAGATTCTGACTTTCAGGTCAGGAGGACAAAGTTCTGGGGAGATTCTCAGGCGAGAAGGTTGATGCACGTTCGTCGTGATTATGATCCTGAGGGAATTATTTGTGGCTATCTGGACCAAGGTGACAAAAGCGGGGTTGCAGGCCTAGACAATGTTTTCGAGTGGCAGCAGAGACCAGAATGGGATCTCACATCGACTTTGTAGATGCAATGTAGTTCAACTTCAGACTTGGTCGAAGTCTCGTGGTGTGACCCGAGAATTCCGAAGGCCGATCCCCGGCTACTGTGTAAAATTATTGCAGATGCATCAGCTTGCTTGAAATGAATATTATTCAATCACTTTTGGAGTAATCATGGATGAACTTTCGTTCCCTTATAACTGTACAGTATATAAATAATATCTGTGGATTACAACATTTCCCTGCTCCGACAAATGAATTTTGGCTGTCATTGTCAGGAAATGTTGTGTTACCGGACATTGATCTAAGGTGCCCAATGTACGTTTCCGCTTCGTAAGCTGAATATGCAAGCAACCCTCCAATTCCACAACTTTGGTGCTCGCTGTCTCGGCCCCGCGAAACTATCCCAAACGCAAATTCGTGGGGCCGAACGCCACGCCCGGAACACTTGCTCTGATCGGAACACCAATACGCCGAGGCTCATTCTTTCTTGCCAAATATGGAACTGAGCTTCCTGGCATACCTACCCCACACGGAACAGCTTGTAGGAGGGGAAATTTATCTCTAATCTTGGGTATTTCATGGCTGAGAATCGAGTTTTGTACAGCCTGCTTGAAGGGAACACAAAAGATCACACCCAAAGATGGAAGCAGTAACGATGAACGGCGCAGACAAAACTGTAAATGGAAATGGTGCTCATGCAAATGGATCAAGTAAACATGGTTTGAAGATTCTGATTGTTGGTGCTGGTGTGGGAGGCTTGACTGCTGCACTGGCACTCAGGCAGCAGGGACATGAAGTTCTGGTAAGTTTATTCTCCGACTGCTAAATGAACACGCGTTGATGATCTTGCAGCTTTTCGAGCAATCGCAATTTGCGAGTGAACTGGGTGCTGCTATGCATCTTGCGCCAAATGCCAATGGGATATTGAGACGGCTTGGCATTTTTGCAGAAGAATTTGGAGCAAATCCGATGGAATGGGTAAGTGGTTCAACTCAGAAGGAAATTGCGAAAGCTGACGACGCAAGTAGTTGACGGAATACAAATCAACCGGTGAAGAAACGAGGAGCATGTATGTCAAAGACGCGAATTCGATCTGGCAGCACCCCTGGCTACTGGCTCATCGAGTGCACTTGCATGATACCCTGAAGCACGCCGCAACAGGAGCCAAAGGGAAAGGACTACCCGCAAAACTTCATCTTGGCACCAAAATTGTGGACGTCGATGTCTCTAAAGCATCAGTTACGTTCGAAGACGGCTCCACGGTTCAAGGAGACTTGGTCCTCGGAGCTGATGGCGTCAAGTCCATCAGCAGAAAGAAAGTTGCTGGGCGAGAAGTGACTCCTTTTGGTTCCGGGAAAAGCGCGTTTCGATTTCTCATTACCAGAAAAGCTGCTGAAGATGACCCTGTCACAAGCAAATTTGCCCAGAAAGCCGGAGAGTTGATCATTTGGTACGGAGCAGATAGACGAGTAGTCATGTACCCCACCACCAACAACGAATTGCTGAACTTTGTGTGCATCCACCCAGAATCTGAGACTGATGCTGGAAATGATCCTTGGAACACCGAAGGAAACTATGATCGGATGTTGAAAGTGTATGAGGGCTTTGATCCCGCGCTTCTCGCGTTGCTCGGCAAATCAGACCGAAAGTCGCTAAAAGTCTGGAAACTGCTTGATATGGAGACACTTCCTTCATGGGTACGTCCGATATATCTTTTAAAGAAACTGTCCTGATAATCATTACAGGTTAACGATCGGTTGGCATTACTTGGTGATGCAGCCCATCCTTTTACCCCTCACCAAGGGCAAGGTGCAGGTGTTGCTATCGAAGATGCTGCGAGCTTGGCAGTCTTGCTGCCGCAAGATACTCCAGTTGAAGAAATTCCAGAACGACTCAGACTTTATGAGAAGATCAGAATGGACCGTGCACATCGCATCCAAGATTTCTCAAGAATCGCTGGGTCTGATTTGAGAAACAATGTAAAATTCGACAGTGAGTCCTCCTGACAGAGTTGGAAAATAGTGCAAGAGACTAACTGAAACAGTGCGAGAACACACAAATTACAACGTTGGGCACGATGAATGGGACAATTCAACTCAAGCTCTTCGAAAATGGACTTGGGCAAGGAATCCAAATATCTACTGGAGGTGAGCTGACTCAATCGTTTCGTGAAGAGACATTGACCAAGAAAAATAGAATGCCAGTTGCTTTCGGACCCATGCCAGGACCCCGTCAAACATTTTCAGGAGCGGAGCGCAAATCCAAACACTCAACCTTCACCACCGCATCCATCAAATTCAAGACGTCACGAACTCTCCTCCAGAATCTCTTCCCGCCAAACAGCTCCTCATACAGATTCAAATCTCCCGGAACCGTCGCGTACGCGTCATTCTCCCAGACCACTCTCGGTAAAATGGACTGGCTAGGAGGATCAGGGTACAAGCATCTGGGACTGTACATCCACGGTGTCGAGTACGTGAAGAAGAACGGAGACGTGATAAGCGGCACATACATGCCCCTCCTTTTCGAAAGCTTAACGGACCCCATCGTTTCCGGACGAGAAGAACTCGGGATGCCGAAGTTATACTCGTCTCTTGACATTCATCGACGAGAAAAGTCCTACCGCATCAACAGTGGCTGGGAAGGTGCCATCTGGGGCAATTTCGTCTGGGATGGTCTGAGAGAAGCTGACCCTCTTGCTGAGAGTGGAAGCATTAGTGGTGAAGACGATGATGGGATTTTGGTGTATCGATATATTCCTACAGTCGGGTGGAAGAATAAGGGGAAGGCTGAGGCAGAGTATCCTGTGTTCGTGCCTTACAAAGAGGACTCCCTCCAGCCGAAGACAGAGAGGGTGTGGAAGGCTGACAAGGCAAGCTTCAAGCTCGATGCTTTGGATGTGGATGCACTGCCGACGTTGCATCATGTTATTGAGAGACTGGCGGAGTTGCCTGTGTATGAGATTGTAGGTGCGAAGATTGTGGAAGGGACGGGAGTTCCGGATGTAAGGGCAGCCCAGCGACTTGAGTAGGAGCTTTTTTGATGTAAATTTGGAGCATATACATATCTAGACTGTCATCTCTTGTAGAAGCTTAAGATCCATTCAATCTGTCTTGTTGATGTGTATTGATTTGTTTTTGACCACTTGGTATTTTTTCACAGCTATGCACATTGAATGAATCTCCCTTCGGGGTCTTCGAAGCGAGATTTCAGCAGTAGTTGGGATTTTCAGGCTATTTTCAGGGCTGTTGCTCGCTAAAATTACAGGCAATTGTACCCAATTTTCGTCCCCTCCTTGTCCCTAACAAAATAACAGTGAACATCAATTGATGAACAACCCTCCACTGGCAACCAAATGAACACCGTTCAACCAGCTTGCCCTCGGCAAACAAAGCATCAGTACTGCATAAGCAATCTCACTCGTCTCTGCAAACCTCGCTCCCACAGGCGTCTTCGATATCAAAGGGCTCAACACCTTCATCATCTCTTCTCCGGCGGCCTGGAAACCTTCCGTCTTTGTTGGTCCCGGAGAAACAGCGTTCACTGTACAGTTGTACTTTGGTGGAAGTTCTTTGGCCCAAACGCGAGTGAAAGAATCGACCATCCCTTTGCTACCGGCGTAGATGGTTTGCATGGGAGGGCCATCACGTGCTGATATTGAGCAGATGTTGACAATGCGTGCGTCTTGCGGTGCGAGATGGGGTAACGCGGCTTGAGTAAGGAGGAAAGTGCCTGGAATGTATCAGTACCTATTTCTCGTATGGATAAAGAACACATACCTCTACAATTTAGATTCACAAGTTTGTCCCAATGATCCAGTGTCTGTTCCTCGAAAGGAAGATTGACCGCAAGCCCGGCATTATTGACCAAAATATCAATCTTGCCATAGACCTTGACAGCCTCGTCGATAAGATGTTGTGGACCGGTAGTGGTCGAGATGTCTGCCTCGACAGCTAGACCAGGGGTGGAAAGACTTGCTACCACGGCGGAAGCACGTTCGACGAGCGCGGGGTCGGATGTCGGGTAATTGATAACTACAATTGCTCCCACGGCGGAAAGTTCGCGGGCAATTTGAGCTCCTATACCGCTGTCGGAACCGCTGATAACTGCTACTTTGCCTTTCAATGATTGGTCCATACTTTGTAAGTTGAAGGCGACGGGCGGAAATCTTCGGGATAATATTCTGATCAATTAAGAGCAGAGGGGTAGCTCTCTCTTGACGGGAATGATCTTGAAAACGTGAGCTACTCCTGCATAAAGGCTTCAATTATCGCTTCTCAGCTTCTTCCACACGATTCAGGGCGGCGGAATAGTGTTCCTCCACGTTCAAACTTCAGTGTGGGGTTGCGGGCCCGAACAACGCCAATCTCCACTTCGGAACGGTACTTCTTCCTCATCACCTGCAACGGGAACAGATTATTCAGCAATTGAGAGAAGAAAACATTCGGACTCATTGATACTTCACTTCCCACATGACAACATTCCCAGGAAAACCAACAACCATGTCTGAAAAAGCCCAAGAACCTCTTCCAAAAATCAACAGATTTATAACAGACCACGATTCATCAGGAAAAGCCATTTTCTCAGAAGAGATTCCTTCAGCACTAGACTGGCAAACACTCCCAGATGGTGCAAAGTTCTGTTTGGGATACTGTACCAACACCTTCCCAGTATCCTTGAATTCCAATGAAGATGTATCGACCTACCGCCACTACCAAGAGAACCTTCCGGGAATAACTATTCCTGGAGGTACAGTGTTGAGGATCGTGGACATGCTCCCAGGTGCATTGTCGCCCATGCATAGGACTGTGAGCCTGGATTATGGCGTAGTATTGGAAGGGGAGGTGGAATTGGTGCTGGATTCGGGAGAGACGAAGTTGATGAGGCGGGGAGACGTGGCAGTCCAGCGAGGGACAAATCATGCGTGGAGAAATGCGAGTCAGGAGAAGCTCGCGCGGATGTTGTATGTCTTGCAGGAGGCAGCGCCTATTGAGATCGGAGGCAAGAAATTGGATGAAGATTATGGTGGAATTCCGGGTGTAAGACCTTCGAAATGAAGACTTGGTTAAGGATGAGCTCGAACTAGACAATGAGAGTTCTAAAAGAACAGTAAGAACTTCTGCTGGAAAGCTTGTATGCCCCAATAAACGCATTAGATTTGTCGTTCATGAAATAGCACTTACAGCTTCATGCCACCCTTTGAGGAGATATGGAGACTGTGTCGTTTATTAAATCCACGCATTTCGACCTGCTGAATCTGGAGAATGGCAGTACGCAGAACAGATGAAGCCACACAAGAATCCAAAAGGGGCATGAAAACGGGGACGCGAAAGGAAACAGACATTCCATTTTCCTCTGAGGCTGCCGTGATGGCCGACCATACATGCAATTGAATGACGGTAGATCATGGGCCACATGAGCGAACTCGTATCCCTCAGTCTAAGATGTGTGAACGATGGAGAAACCTCCAGTGCCGACTTTATATTCGAAGAAGAACTTTAGCACTCATGAGCAAAGACACTCGTATAATACTAAAGCATGAGGTCAAGGGAATGGATTTTATGCATACATACGAACGTGGTTGAACAGTGAAAAGATACAGACAGCATAGCAGCCCCTGCAGATAGATCGGCGTCCAAGGGATCGTCTCGGTTATCTGGAAGCAGATATCCATAATCTTGGCATGCTTGTCAGCACTAACGACGCTTCTCTAAGTCCTTTACCTGTTTGTGTCTAGCTCTTACAGATACTGGGATTATTTTGAGCTTTTCACGTGACCGACCTTGAACTTCGCCAATGACAGCCAATTGTATGAAATCTTTCGTCTGCTCGTAAAAGCAACCATTCGTTTTGTACAGCCTCGAGAAAGATCACATTTGCTCAAAATAAATCATTCTTCAATGCAACTCCAAGGCTCTGTGCCATGTTGGCCTTTCAGGCATGGACAGCCACCTTCCAACATCCGACTGAAAGTCGCGTCTTGGCCCAATAACGCGGCCGCGAAATCAAACATGTGGCTGTTCTTTGCTGCCGTCTGTCAGCCTCGAAGTTGTACATTTCCACTCAAACACTCTTGAAAGCGGTTTAGCTGCAGGCTGCCCTTCACAAATTGAAGAATGCCTGCTGTCAGCCGCTCCTACAGACCCCAGTGGAACAGCGCGAAGAGAGACAATTTGGAGGGCGCAATGCGCCAAAGCATGCATGCTCACGATATTCCTCAGCCGCTGCGCTTCTCGACCGAGAGCCTGCATGTATTTCCTTTTTATGTAAATCGTCCCAGCTAGGTCTCTTTCCTTACATCTGCAATCTCCAATCTCGCTTTCGTTGTTACTGTCAATCATCTCTTGAGTGAAGTCTGTCTCGAGGCTACCTCGAGCGTACTCATAACAGCCCTACAAAATGGACCCCCGATACGACCATGGCCGGTCTCTTTCGTCTGAGAACTTTGGCGAGCCTCTAAGGGTATGCTTGTCTCTCTTCACGATGCTTGACGTGCGACTGATATTGAGATAGATGCCTGCCACTCCAAACGCAGACCATTCACCACATCTATACCCCAGTGGCAGTCACCAAACCCTCCGCAATAGCTACGACGACTTCGCACAGACTCGAACTTCTCTTTTCGATGACCATCAGCATGATTATGACTACGATGCCGAAGCTCAGCAGGGAGGATACCACGAACAGCCTTTCCAAGCCGATCCCCAAGATATACCATTGCTCACAAGGAATTCTTCACAGCCTCAGTACTTCGAACAGCAACATGCGGAAGATTCTGGCATACATAGAGCGACCACGCCATTTGGAGCAGATGCTCCATTCCAGCCTCGCGGCGATGGGCATTTGGTTTACGATTGTCCTGTTCCTCCAAAGCTACTTCGAAATATCCCTCACGCCGAGCCACCTGCTCGAGACGAGTTCACGCATATGCGGTATACAGCAGCAACGTGTGATCCTGCAGACTTCGTGGGCGAGAACTTCACTCTTCGACCACAGCTCTTTACTCAACGTCGACGAACCGAATTATTCATAGTAGTTACGATGTATAATGAGGACGACGTTCTTTTTGCGAGAACGATGACTGGCGTGTTCAAGAACATCGAGTACATGTGCTCTCTTAAAGGCAGACATAAGGGATTATGGGACGAGAATGGCTGGAAGAAGATTGTGGTCTGCATTGTTGTGGATGGTCGTGCCAAGCTCGATGCCCGAACTAGGGCCGTCATGACAGCTCTAGGCGTTTACCAACACGGCGTTGCCGTCCAAGAAGTCAACAAGCAGCCTGTTACTGCTCATATATACGAGTATACCACGAAGGTTGGCATTGATGTTCGTAAAGGTATTGTGGAGACGAAGCCTGGCCTCGGTCCATCTGTCCAAATGATCTTCTGTCTCAAGGAGAAAAATCAGAAGAAAATCAATTCCCACAGATGGGCTCTACAAGCTTTTGGCCAAGCCCTTCAACCATCTGTAGTCGTACTCCTTGATGCTGGAACACGACCGGGTCCTCAATCCATCTACCAATTATGGCGTGCATTCGAACTCGACAAGCACTGCGGTGGAGCTTGTGGAGAGATCAAAGCTATGCTTGGGAAAAACAAAGGGTGGGAGAAGCTGCTCAACCCCGTCGTCGCAGCGCAGAATTTCGAGTACAAGATGAGTAACATCCTGGACAAGCCCATGGAATCTGCATTCGGATTTATCTCTGTGCTTCCTGGAGCATTCTCCGCCTACCGCTTCACTGCTCTTCAAAACGACTCTAAGGGGAAAGGTCCTCTGGAGAAGTACTTTGACGGCGAGAAGCATCATCTCGATGCCGGCATTTTCACCAAGAATATGTACCTCGCCGAAGATCGTATCCTCTGTTTCGAGCTTGTGGCCAAACGGAAGTCCAGCTGGGTGCTTACTTACGTGTGTTCGGCTCAAGGAGAAACCGATGTCCCGGAAGAAATGCCTGAGTTGATCAAGCAGCGTCGACGTTGGCTCAACGGCTCCTTCTTTGCCGCAATATACGCTCTTGTCCACTTCTATCAGATCTTCCGCAGTTCGCATTCGATGACGAGAAAGGTCATGTTCTTGATTGAGTTCTTGTATCAGCTCATTTCCATGATCTTTGCTTGGTTTGCCGTTGGGAACTTTTTCTTGGTCTTCCGAATTCTGGTCAGTGCATTGGGAGACAAAGCTCTTCTGGGCCATGCTGGCGAAGTTCTGTCTGTGATTATCGAATGGATCTATCTGGGATCATTGGTCACATGCTTCGTGTTATCTCTTGGCAACACTCCTGACGGTTCTAGAAGGTTTTACATGACAATGGTGTACTCGTGGGGCTTGATCATGCTGTGAGTTCTCTTGAGCTTTGGAATGATTGATACTGACACTTCTAGGTACCTTCTTTTCGCTTCGGTGTTCATCACTATCAAATCGGTTCAGTCAGAATTGCATGAAAAGACATTTACTTGGACGCAACTCTTCTCGAATGAGCTATTCTTTACTCTGATTGTGTCTTTGCTCTCTACCTATATTCTTTGGATTTTCATCTCAATCGTCTTCTTCGATCCCTGGCACATTCTGACTTCGGTACGTTCTGCTCTCCAGTTGTCTATCTTTTTGCTAACCATACCCTTCTAGTCTCTTCAATATCTTCTCCTTTCTCCAACGTATACAAATGTGATCAATGTATACGCTTTCTGTAATACTCACGACGTAACCTGGGGTACCAAGGGTGACGACAAGCCCGAGAAACTCAAGGGCGCGACAGTCACGAACGGCAAGCCTGACGAAGAATTGAACTTCGATGATGGTGACCTCAACGCCCTCTACGACACGGCCCTTGAGAAATTCGCTACCGAAGCCGAGCCTGAAGTCAAGAAAGCCAACGCCGGAGAACAGGAATTAAATTATAACCGAGCGTTCAGAACCTATGTCGTGCTTGCATGGATGGGCTGTAATGCTGTACTTGTAGCAATTGTCCTGAACGCGGGAGGTTTGCAGAGATTGAATGTTAATACTACCGACGTAGGCGATGATGAGAGTAATACGGTCAAGATTTACTTGTTTGTGGTGTTGTGGAGTGTGGCTGGGTTGTCGGCTTTCAAGTTTGTGGGAGCTATGTGGTATAAAATTCATAGAATTGTAAGTTGTTCCGCTCTTGTTATAGGCACAAAGCTAACGATGTCTGTAGTTCAAGAGGTAGAGGTAGTTCGGCCGATAGATGAGAGCGTCGTAATTGATATTTAATATAGCATCGTGTGAAATGAATGAGAGACAGTACATTTCCTCCATGCCATGAATACATATATCTTCTTGCTTCTTGCTCACTCATTTCCAAATGCAATTCACGTTGTGCATCACAGTTTTCCTCTCGACCAATAAAACTTCAATCCAAAGAAACCATCTTAGTGGATGTCTAATCAGCTCTCACATCGCATTCGCTTTTTGCACGAGTCAGGGACCCTGCCCACATCCCGTCGGCTGAATTGCTCACAGTCTCCTCCACTCGGGAAGGGTCCCCACATTTAGCCAATGCCGCGTCAAACACCCCAGGTCACAGACATTTACACTTTCACTCCTCACTTCTCGACCGCCGTGCAGCTGACGACCCTGTAGGCTGCGTGATAGAGTGCATAATAGAGTTCGGACAAGCCTATGTAGATGCTTCCTAGTGGCGAGACTCCGCTCTTGGCCTGGACGTTGCGGGGAACCCCAGCAGGAGCTGCGTCAACCTTCTCACAGCTTCCCGCGGCTGTTTGTTTCGACGTTCGCACCTCCAAATTTTGTTGATGATAGCAGAAATTAGGTCGTCGTCAACCTCTGGCTGTTTATCCTATCGCAATTCTCTATAATATTCTCTATGTTATTGCACTGTGAATATTGCGGTTGATTCTTGAGCACGATGGCGGATACGGTGGTAGTCGTTGAGCAGTCCCCGAACAGCACGCAGTCTCCTCCATACACCAACACTGAGTCGGAGAATGGGAAGAGCCCCTTTGCTTGTAATGTCTGCCATCGAAGTTATCGCAGAGTTGATCATTTAGCAAGGCATTATCGTTCTCGTAAGTCTTACAATACTCCCACCAGATGGCAGACTGACAATTGCAATAGACACACGCGAAAAGCCTTTCGTGTGCAATACATGTGGCAAAGGGTTCTCGAGAACGTAAACGATTCCCCAGCCGATCTAAAGACCCAGACTGATGGTTCACAGCGATCTTTTAAAGCGTCATTCAATCGGACACAACGATCGAAAGGATCCGAGAAGATACCCCGCTTCAGCACCTCAACTAGCTAGAGTTGCACAGGCGTGCACAGCTTGTGCGAATTCGAAACTCAAATGTGGAAATCAGAAGCCGTGTCATCGATGCCGGCAGAGAGGAATTGCTTGTACATTTGCTCCCCAGAATGAGAAGCAAAGAAAGACTCAACAAAAAGGAACTCTTCCGATCAAGAGTAAGACGAAGATATGAATACCATCAAGGTCGACTCGCTAACACGAGTAGGATCAGATACCCAGTCACTTAATCTTAATGAATCAGAGGATCAAGAAGTCTTGTCATTAGAGAACAACGTTGGGAATCTTCGTTTCCAGGATCAGCAAGAGATGTCGATCCAGCATACGGGTGATGACGCTTCACCAAATGGATCCATGCCAGCTCAATCGATGCTCAGCCTCACTGATGGCTCTAACACTGTCCCTTCCAGTAACGATAGCATTATGGACTTTGACGACTCTTCTCTAGCAGAGTTTCTTCGCGATGTAATGATGCCAGGATCTCCAAACTCATTGGCTGAGACGAACGCTGCTGGCTTTCTTCCCCAGAACTATTATTGTGGCAGGGATGTCTTCAATTTCGGCATGGATTCGAGCCTAGACTTCAACGATATGGACTTTAGCTGGATTGATTCCCAACAATACAGACAGCCAATCTGGACGTCGGTCCCTGCTCACATCGATGATGTGAGGATCGCTGGTCAAGAGACACCAGACTTTAGCAGCGGGACAACAGCCGGCGTAGAAGCATTTCAAAAATCAGTGTGGAGATGGAAACCAGGTCGACAAGATCATGCCTCTTCGGAGCAAGTTCATCTTTCAGTCCCATACAAGGATATGCAACATCTCGAAGTTCGGCTACCACTGGATCTTTTAAGTCATCGCATTGAACAAACATCTCGAGACAAAATCTTAGCGATGGTGTTAAGCACTTGCGAGCGACCGAATGTATCTCAAGTCGTCACCTCGTTTCCTTCAGCGGATTTCCTGGATTCTCTGATGCATTCTTTCTTCCGGAATGAGCTCGCGAGAGAAGATTCTTGGATTCATATTCCAACATTCAGGCCGCAGACAAATAGAGCAGAGTGGAATGCAATTGTAGTAGCAGCTGGCGCTATCTTGTCTAGCATACCAACAGTAAGAAAGCTAGGCTTCGCTATCCAAGAAGCTGTTCGAATGGTTGTTCCTACTATTGTAAGTTCCTGAGCCTTCACAGTCATTTCAAACTAACATCTCCTAGTGCGAAAAAGACAATAGCAAAACCAGGGAGCTACAGCTATGTCAAACCTTTGCCCTACAGCTCAGCATCGGGATATGGAGTGGCAACAAACGAAAAATGGAGATCGCGGAATGCCACTTGCAGCCTTTGATCACAATGCTTCGAAGAGCAGGTCATTACAGGCGTCGACCACCAATTCCTGCCCCTTCACCAATTGACGATGAGCACACGCTTGAAATAAAGTGGCGAGCTTGGATCGAGGCTGAAAGCTTCAAGCGCCTTGCATTCCATACGCTGCTCCATGATGCACAAGCCTCGATCTCGCTTCTCACTCGTCCCATGATCTCTTACGCCGAGATGTCACTGGAATTACCTTACTCTCTATCCCTATGGCGCGCAAGATCCGCTCTGGAATGGCGAGACGCCTACCTTGTCCTCACTCCCACAATATCAACTCGACTCCCATCCCTCATGCAAAGCATCCACGACCTACCTTCCCTCGTCTCACTCTCCCCTTGTCTCGACATGCGCTTCTCCACCTCCGCAATCCTGCACGCAATGTGGAGCCTCGTCTCAGAGTACCGCCAAGTACAATTCGTCCTCAAAACCTCACCCACATCCACCCCCGACCCGTCCCCTCCCTCCTCAAACGGCGCCCTAATCTCTCAATCCTGGCAACAAGAACTTACTCACCTCCTCGAATCCATCAGTCTCACCTTCTCCTCAACCCTAACCGCTGAATCCTCCATCATCCAAGAACTCTTCCTAATGAACCTCCACGTCTCCTTCGAGGAACTCCAACTCTTCGCCGGCAAAGAAGGAACCGAAGAAGCCGTCCGCGTCTACCCTTCCCTGAAAAACTGGTGGAAAGGACGACGAGCCCGCCAGGCTATCTGGCACGCGGGGCAGATCCTCCGCTCAGCTCGAAGAGCGGAAGGAGAACTAAGAGATTTCTACGCAGTGGCTATTTATCATGCCGCGCTCTGTTTCTGGGTATGGGGGATGTGTGAATTGGGTGATTCGCGGCCTTCGACGATTCATGAGTCGGAGGAGATTGTGTGGTTGGATGGGGAGGAGAACAATCTTACGAGGAGGTTTATTGCTATGGCCGGGTGCGTGCCGATGATTAGAGGGTTAGTGGGGAATGGGAACGGGTGTAGACTAGATAATCCGAAGGCGGTGATGGAGTTGGTTATTGGTGTCATGGGACGGGCATGTGTTTTGGGAAATTCGTTGCCGCCATTGGTGGAGAACTTAAGTCAATTGATGAGGGATTTAGGAGGTGCGGCGGGGGTGGTTAGGAGTCAGTCGAGGAAGGGCAATGTATATTCTTAGATTTGTGAATATCAGAGAAAGAATCATTGGTATTGTTTGTCTTGAGGTGTGAAGTTTGTGTTGTATATCGTTCAGTTCGAAAGGACAAGAATTTTACAATAATGACACCTTTCAAGAAAAGGAAGAGATGGAACCGAAATCGCTTTGGAAAGATATTAAAAAAACTACTTCTCTTTTAGAATCTAGTGACTCTATTTCCCACATCCAGCGTCTGCCTTCTTGAATCTCGACATCCTCACCAATCGATAGCGTACCTCAACCATTTCAGTGCTACAGCTACCTCTTTCCTTTATGCCCGTAGAGAGCACTGAAGGTTGAATTCGGATATCGCAGCATTGTACTTGAGATATGTCCTCAGGGGTCGAGGTTATTTTCTCTGCTCGTGGTTTTGACCCGGTTTTGACTGGATTCTGGGTTCCTGGTTTTGGAATTGAGTTTTTGCGACGTGCAACAAAAGGAGGGGTAAGTGGGGCATATCTGGATTGAGCTGAGCTGTCACGTGGATTCTTTTTAGCTATCTGGGTTGAGTTCGGGGGCCGAGTTAAAAGGCATATAACAAGATGAAGACAATTACCAGGTGCCTTTCCGGCGTTCTGCTCTGATTAGTAGCTGAAACATTCAAAGAGAGGTCTGAAGTAAATTCCAAGCGGGTCACGTGGGTGTTCAGATATCGAAGGACATGATATGGGAGGCTTCGGATCTTAATCTGGCATACTAAAGTCTTGAACACACCAGAGTAGACCAATACTATGAACTAGATGATCACGGGAGATGACAGAGTAGTCACCAACACTGAACGGCATCAACCTGCCTGCACATCCCTGATTCACTCGCAAACACGAAAACATTCAGCTAGTCCGGATATAAATGAGTAACAAACACATCACAATAGCACATTACATCGATACCTAGAAGTCCCAAGTCAGCATCGAAACCATCACATTTTCCGAAAACAAACTCTGATACAAACCACAAACACGAAACTACAAAACACCAACCACCAAGCAAGACCACCCCTCCTTGGACTCCAAAGAAACCTGGACCTCAAATATCTGAGATCAACAAGTAGAACAGTCACGGAATGAAGCACATTACATCAAAGCCGATCCTGATCTTCCTCGCACTTACGCTCCTCGCTCTCAACGTCGAAGCCGGAGGTTCTTGCCCTTCTTACAACACCGTCTACCGCATACCAAAGCCGACAGGAACACAAACCTATGATGGTCATATAGCAGCTTACACGGACTCGAAAGCTTGTACGATTACCGTTTCCTCGGCGAAGCGTGAGGTACCGGCTATGGCTCTGCTTAGCGTGATCATGGCCGTTGTTTTTCTGTGAGGCTGGTGGATGGGTGACAAATGGAAGCTACTATCTTGGAAACGCAGTTTTGGGGAACTTTCTAGGCGACTTTGTCAAAATATCTCCTTTTAGCTATCCAGGGCTTGGATACTAGGCAAGGATCAGTTAGTGAGATTAGCTCACGAAGTTTGGAAGCACGAATAGACTTCAAAGAATAATGAAACCGAATCCAGAAAATCAATTTTGCAAGTAACGTGCCTCTGAATTACTTCTAGTGACTAGCGTAGTGAATTTTGATTAAGAATAGCAAGAAGTTTCGCACCCAAAAGGTAGAAGAACCACAAGCCTCCTTGCTCCTGCTCTTCTTTCTAGTTCAATACTTGACCAGACTTTGCCTACTCCAGAGACAGACAATCTAAAGAGTCACACCAGGTCCATCGATCAGCGAGCTAAAAGCTAATTGCCCACAAGGTCCATTCGAAATTGTGACAAAGAGACTAGGAATGAGTGGTTGGGCTGCAACTCCGAATACAATTCCAGCCACAGAAGGAGCATAGACGTAAGCTGTAGATAGAAGACATGTCTCAATAGCAGCGAAATAGACGGACGCTTCACAGTTCGGCGTATTGAAACATGTGTCGCAGCAAGCTGTCGCACTCGGGATGTCGAGAATGAGGGGTCCGAGATTAGACAGAAAGGGTTTAAGAACGGGTGCGAAGACGTAGTTGACGGAATCTATATCTGTGACAATGTTGTTTGCCGCACAACCATCGTAGGTGTCCGCCGCCGGGACCGTCTGTGTAGCTATTGGAGTCGACGTGACGGTTGTGGATGATTCTGTGTAGCCTATGAAAATGGTCGTTGGTTTAGCAACGGTGTACTTTGTGGACGTATTGTAGAAAATGTAATTCTCTTTGCATGTGACGGTTTGCGGATATTGTGGATGGCCGGCAAGATTCACTTTCCCGTTCACGAAGGACATGGCTTGTGCGGTAGGGTTCGGAGCTACCGCTGAGCTACTCGTTTTCTTCACTAAAGTTGTGCTGCTGGTTTGTTTGGGTGCTACGGCGCGCTTTGCTGCTTGAGTGATGCCGGATACGCCGAGCAGGTAGTCTTGGATAGCAGTTAATCCTGCTGGCGTAGGAACATCTGATGATGTATACACTGCAAAAGTGCTCTGATGGTGCGAATTGTTACTGGCTGGATCTCGAAAAGGGGATTTTTCTTCCAAGTAAAGGAATTAGACGTACAGTTGGTGCTGTAACAGTGACAGTAACCACAGTGGTCGGCACGGTTGGAAGTTCTGAGATGGTCACTGTTGGAGTTTAGGTACTCGTGATTTTGATGTTATCGGTCCTGGTGGTGCTGAGTGTGGTAGAACCAACACTTGGAAGAGATGCGGAGCCTGAGTAGATTAGTGTACTATCCTACCATACCGCAATCTTGCATAATAGCCTCGAGATGTCTAACTTACCGAGTATAGTGGAACACACAGACTTCGTCAAAATCTGAGCGAGCGCATTGCTGGCAAGGATGAGAGCAATTGAGGCCGAAGTTCCCAAAAACATGATCGGCGGAATAATCTATTTTCAGAAGATGTATATAATTGTTCCAACTGAGGAAGGTTTCTCTTGGGAAGAGAAGGAAGCTGCGAAATGGGGATTGCAGGTATTCATATTGAGAATCACTTGAGATCAACCTTCTGCACATTTCGAAGCCATGTGGCTGTCCTCATGCAAGCCGTGAGATGCAGACTTTGAGACGTTCAACAACACATCAGACATAGAGTCTCTATGTTGAATGCTATTGGAAATGTATGTTGGGGGCAAGCCTCGTCAGTCCGAACACCTGATTCTCGCTGCTTCCCATGTACAGAAGCCTTCATGTTGCACTATGGCGGAAAGCCATTTCACCAAGCCAATCTTCCTGATTGAAATACCAAAACAAGAGCAGCCAATTTATCACGATGTCTTGGTTCGACGACAATCTTCAATCCTATCTTAGATTGTAGAAAAGGACCATAACTCCTTGGTGATTAATAGATATATAGAGACCTCCCGATCGAATCCTTCATCCCGTCGCGACATGTTTAGTGATTTGAAATTTCCATTGAGACATAAAGAGGGGAATGAGACAATAGTAATTCAAGTCTCGGCCGTAGCCGCACAAGTCAGTCATAAGCTTTCGAAGGAGACATTGCTATCTCAAATTGGTCACAGATACAAAGAGCGGTGTGAGCAGTTGCTGGTAACATTAGGTTAAGCTCGTTCAAGAGTCAACATTTCTAAGCTTTGGTAAACCGCCGGGAACCAAGGTCAATTATATCCCAATCATTAAATGATTGGGAGGGTCTCTTTGACTATATATGAGATATCTATGATACTTGGAAAGCGTATAGGTGCCATCTTTAACCAAACCAATGCTGCAGAGAAAGTCTTAACTCCTGTGACTCGTTCCTATACGTCCTGCACGTGATCTCAGTTGTATCAATATGTTTCAGTGTTTTCATTGGCTCTTTTATCTCAAACTCAATTTCAATCGACAAAAAGTGAGCTAATACTCAGAATACGAGTGATTGAGATAAAAAAAAATCGTGGAAGTATAGAACACTTCCAGCACAGCTGTTCTCACGACTGCCCCTATTTTATTTAGCCGAGCTCGGTTAGCAGTCTTGCAAGGGACGAAGATGTCAAGCACCTGGAGGCAAATGATGCAAGACTGAGTTTAATTGCTCAGAGTGCTAGCTAGTTGAAATTCAAAGTCCATATCCAGTTCTATGAGTGCCCGGATATGACCTCCGCAATTTTCAAGGCAAAGATTCAAAATCAACGCAAAACAAAACAAAACAGTGCTGCCTCTATCTGCCCACGATACCACCAAACTCCTCCAAATGAGGACACTTCTTGCAGAAATGACCGAATTTTCCACAGATAGAGCAGAGATTCGTACACTCGGCCCAGACGTGACACTCGCCGCAGAACCCGCAGATGATATTGGCAGCTCTGACGGCATTAGCTTCCTTCCTCTTTTTCTCCTCGGTCCACTCCAATCTCTTTCTCTCTTCTGCGCGATCCGCGAACCACTTCATAGTATCCTCGGCCCACTCAAGTTTGACACCTCTATTCATCACCACCAGTTCACTGATATTCCTGATGGCCTTCAGCTCATTCTCAACGAATGGTCTCATGGCTTCCTCGGAAGTGCTTGGCCCATATGTAGTTATCATACGACCATATCCATGTCCATATCTCGAATCATCTTCAACTCGGAGTATAAGCTTTCGTAATCCAGGACAGAACTCGTTGATGAATGGAATGTAGAAGCGTAAGCTGTTCAGCAAATCCTGTCGACACTTTTTGTAGCAGTCGACTCCGTCGTGGCATTCATGGATGTTAGGGCATCCACCGAACTGCAGTGTCTTGATCGAGGCTGCATTCTTTGGGCCAATACTATAGATGAATCGAAGGAAATGATCGTAGTAAACCGAACCATCAAGTTCTTGTTCCGGGATATGGTTTCGAATTGCAGAGATGGCGGTGGCAAATATGGTATTATTGTACCCATCTGGAAGTTCGGATACGTTTGGTTTCGATGGATTCGGACGATGTAAAGTTTCGCCGTCGTACGTGGAGGGAGGACTTGCTTGGTAGTGCTCGTTGACCATCAAGAATTCGAGAGTATTGTTGGAATACAAAAGGTGGTTGCCATCCTTGAAGAACTTCTTGTTCACGCGCAGACATGTGGCATCGATTTTGGCACGGTAGATCGGGCGTAACTCGGTGTACGTTCCCTTGGAGTCTCGGCGCTTGAAGAATGCCAACGGAAGTATCTCCCACCAGGATATATCACAGCGAGGTGACATCCAGCATGTCTTCCAATTGGAGGTCACCGGCAATGGTTGAACAGTTCTGGGATCCTCAACGGATACACAATAACCGAAAATGATGTCTCTGACTTCTAGAAAGTGATGAGCGTTAGCCACCGATCTTCGACTGCTTGAGCTGAACTTGAACTTACCTTGAGGTAGCTTCATGAAATGGCGGTCATGATCTTGTGGCAATGCCCAACCACTCTCACTCGGGTGTCGAACAAGCTTTTGAAGTGCTTGTTTCTTGGGTCGATTGACATGTCGAAGGATATCTCGCCAAGTGACACCCTCCTTCACCTCCAGGAACTTACGCCAGCCGATGTGTGCCTCTTCATGATACCAAGAATATCCTTTCTTGTCCTGGTATTCTATGTCTACAATGTATTAGCCTCAGGTATCCTTAAAGCTAGATTAGAAGACGTGCGGTTAATGCTGTATGTAAAACGTTCGCCTTCAGAGTCCAAGAAGAAGACGCCATGGTCGTGGTTTTCGTAGCAGTGATTGATCAATCTTGTTTCAAAATCGCCTGGGCGTTCTTTGGATTCATTCATATGATCCCTCGTGTCTATGTCATAGATATTCTGGGTCTGGTGCGGTGCAATCGCCACAGCCAAAGGTTGGTGAGACATCAAGTGGAAGGGAGTCGGAATGTACTTGCGCAGATCCTGACGACGATGAATGACGACTGAATCCACAGCAGTAAATGTTATGAAAAATTGTTGTGGAAAAGATGGTGGGGAAGGATCGTTATCATCAGGAAAAGGTCTTTTTATTAAAGATTGACGCCAGGAACTCCAGTCCACCTAGCGTGCTTTGGACGTGGAGACCTCAGGTGACTAACTACAAAGTCCTAGGAATCTTGGACACTAGACATATCCGAAGAGAGCGCTACTTGTTGTCACTTTCAGATTGAATTGGTGAACAAGAGGAGACATGACTTGTGGTGACTGGGACTTTTCATCAGCAATGAAGGACACTCTATTTCAGGTCTTAGAAACATAATCCCCCAAAAACGAATAGACAATGGTGTCGATCGTTGTGGGCTGGTAGTGGTAGACACTAGCCCGCCGGTGCATTCGAGCACAGTGCAAAAGATCCTTTGTGGATAGCTTCCCATCCATTTCCCTCCCAGCAACAACCACCAGCGACTTGTGCAACTTCAGATATTGCTTATTGTGCGGATCTTGACATTAATCAACAGGGCTCTTGAAGTTAGCAAACTCTCAGGTCCAGCACAAGTATTTATGATCATCATGAATCCGATGCAGTTGGCAGTGGCTCCTCCGCTTCATAAATCAGTCTTCATATGCCAAGATCCTTCGATGTCCCAAGATCCTCGCGACTCTGGAGATCAGGGTGATTATCAAGTCGACTGAGCTGCCGATATCATAGACTATTGCAGCAAGTGGGGCTCTGCGGTCTTCTTTCTGGACTCTCAGGCCAATTGATTGGTGTATGGGAAGAGTAAGTCATTCCTTCTTCTGTAGGAGAAAACCCCAAATTAATACCTGATATAGCAATCGACCTTGTAAACGATAAAAGTTCCCAAAGCCACCAGATTGCTTACAACGAGGTCAAGATCCCCCGTTTTCTTTTCACTTTCCTATGTCGAAAGATGGCTCTCGAGTTATGCGCCGGTCCAAAACGACAACTGCAAATGTACTGGCCCCTCATCCCAGTGAACAGAGTTTGGATCTGCCCCGAGAGCATCCTCATCACCTTCTGAACTTTCCTCGAGGTAGGCCTCCATGAACTTGCACGGCGAACTACGAGAAAAGCTAACAGAGGCCAGAAATTCTCGATACAATCCTCCGGTTCACTCTCTGCGTTATCAAACCTAAATGTGTATCAAGCTACCACAAGATGGAAGAGTGGAGCCAACCACATTATACCCCCAATGATGCGGTTGTCACATCTCTTTCATTCATAGAATTCCAAGATGAGCAAGGAACATACACCAAGGCACCAAAGGTCCTTCGTCCCTCCATCGATGCCACATATCTCCGAGTGCGCCAAGTTCCTTTCCACCGATCATGAAATCCTCTATGGCGAGAATGGCATGACCCTCAATCGTCCCGAATTCTGCTACAGTTATCCTCGTTCTCTCGACATCGGCTATTTCTTATACGAAGAAGAGTCTAAATTTATTAAGCAAAACCTCGTGCTCAACTTTGTTATTATTTTTAACTATATTTAACGAGTAGACGGCAAATTGGCTGCTGTTTTCGGGGGGGTTTGGCCGCTGCTTTCTGCAGCCAACTTGCCAAAATCTCGTGCTGCTCTAACACTCGCACACCTGGCGGCCAAGGCGGCACGACCCTAGCCTGACTGCACGTAACACCCAAGAAAGACAACCGCTTCTCTATTCTCGTTCTTATTCCTACTTTCTGAGAAGGGAGTAGAAAACGGATGCCCATCATCCTCTGGATGACTCAAGATGGCGGTCATCCTACATCTTCGTCCATCTCCCCTCTCTCTTTATTTTCTTTCCTCTACACTTCTCACCATCAACTACCTCCTCTCGCTCCATTTCTCTCCTCTGCTCCGATTCGGTTCCTTGGGCGGCAGGTTCTTCTCAAGACCCCCTCTCGAAATAATCGTCGTCGTTATCGGTGTCGTCTTTTTTAACAGATTAAGTCGATATGCGGCGTCGCCAACCGACACCAAGCTCCTCTTTATCAGATAGCGATAGGTCAGACGTCGAGAGCTGCTTCGATATAGAGGATGAACGGGAGGAGACCGACGTTGAGACCGAGCCGGCAGACATTGACACCGATGTCGATGGAGTCGACGAAGCAAACCTGCCAGATTGGAAGTGGATCGCTAGAGAAGAAAACGCTCACCCGCCAGAGTACTACCTCGACCAGGAAGATAACTCTGATGAATCCGAGGATAAAGATGAAGACTACAACGATAGTAGTCTCCTCCTCCTGGATATGATCGAGGACTAATTCGATCGGTATATATTTTATTTTTTTCTAATCTACTAATTTGTGCTATCAACTCACAACTAACTCTCGTTCAAGGTACTGTAAATATATACGAAAAGATCCTACCCGGATAATACAAACCTCTTTTTCGCCGTACTTTGAAGGCCTTCTTCGAATGGATATTAAATCAACGTCAGAGAAAAGGTGGGAGGAAGCTTGCCAGCATCAAGTCGGCAAACACGCTCGGGACATACTAAAAGGTCTTCCGGCTAGTACACAAAAGAGCGACGAACAAAAAGATCGAGGGGAAGCTAAACCGTCAAATGCATCGAATAAATACTACGTCTTTGTCTAAGTGCCCTATCTAGTCCGAACTATTGTAGATAAAACGCTAATAAATCGTCCTTGTCGCAAGTCCTTAAGAAGCTAGCGAAAAAGTACCACCTCTCGACGAAAAAGCGCGAAAAGACGGCAATGTACGTCGAGGATCTCGCAGAATACCTCCAGGCCAACTTAACGACGACGAAGAAACAATTTACACACGGTCGGCAACGCATCCAACTTACTTTGTTCTGTCAACTTACTATATTCTCCGAAAACCGCCCTTTAACGCTCTTTAAACTCCGCTACCGTGATATTATCGTGATTCTACTTCGGGATCCTAATAGTGGCCCTCGTCGGATCTTGATAGAATTCACATGCGAGTTTACGAAGCAATTCCTCGGTGTAAAAGATGCGTAAGTATTTGCCCGGTCCTCTTCCCACGTCCCCTTCTCGTCCTTGCCCAAACACTACTTATACGTACCACAGGATTAAGTTCGTCCTTCCTGAAATCATCTTCGATCCCTCCCTTGTCTTTAGCCCTCATGTCTTCCTCTTGGGCCTTGTTTTTGCGGACAAAGCATTTGCGGCTCCGAATCTCAGGTCTGCCACGCAATTGAGCGGACTAGATATCCGACCTGGCTATCAACAACTGGAATTGCTCTTCAAGCCGAGTATGCTCGATGTCCCCATCTTCAGGAAGTCGGTCAAGACAAGGTACGGCTACGAGATCTCACCATACGAGCCTCTCACATACCCTACCCTCTTGTCGCTAATGAAGGTAATCGGCCTCATCCTAGGGCTCCTAGAGCCTACACGCCCGTACTGTCTCCGTTACAACGCCGCTAATGAATTTAACAAGAGTGGTGAGTACTATATGTTCCTACGTCTCCGTCCGTAGCCGAGAGCTAACCACCCACATACAGGCGACGTGACCGACGCCCTCCAGAATATAATGCTGCAGCATGCGAGTGTTGATACTTTTGTCAAGCACTACCTCCCGCGGCGGTCGGGTGACATCCGGGCTATCGTGTCTGGCTACGAGAGCCAGAAGGACCTTATGCGGGCCGCCTCTCGGATGACGCGATGGATCGATCCTAGCCGCCCGCACACCCTTACGGTTGAGCAGTCCCAGTCCGTGGATAACGACCGCCGACTCCGCCGGCTTCTCGCGCTACGCGCGAAGTGGAACCGCCGCTACAAAGGTGCCGCAACGAAACAGCCCGAGTACCAAAGGCTAGGTAGCGCAATTGTTAATTTGAGGCAGCGATTAAGGGCTGCGCTATTTCGGCAGCTCCGAGACAAGTGGGACACCGAGCACCCTGTGAACGAGTTCGAGCTCCAGCTCGCTGGGCTTAAGTTTTGCGATGATTCCGGCACTGGTGTGCCTATTATCGATGAGATGGCCCCTAATGCAGAAGCGCTTGGCGGCGACGGTTATGACCTTGCCGGGTACGACCGTGGTAGAGGAGTTCTGCCGGCGCAATGCCGCAATCGACGCCGTCGTTGCTTACTGCCACTTCCAAGAAGGCGGAGTTGTTGCCATGCCACGTGGGAGGCCGTCTACGCGGAAAGCGAGTTCGATGACGTTGAAGGAGACTAACCCGGAGCTGGCAGCCGCCGAGGCTAAGAAGCAAGTATTAAGTGACGCTATATTGTTGGTGTTCACAGAGAAGAAAACCACTACTTGCTTCCTTTGCTTCGGGGAGCAAAGCTTACTGTTCGAGAAGCGCACCTACAAGTTTGCCACTCTAGGAGACTTGACGAAACACTTTAAGCGGAAGCATTTGGCCAACATTAAAGAAGGAGATTGGCTCGAGTGCAAGGTTTGTCGAATGGGGCTGTAGCATAAGTACTATTTCCAGAATCACGCTCTAAGCATCTACGGAATTGTTTCTTAATGCCTCGATGACGTACTAAGCGGTATAGTTAGATAGTTCGAGTTTACCTTTCTTTCTTTTTGGGTGTTTGGGTATATAATGGCGCTAGCTCGGTGTACGTTTCGTTATGTATTTTTTCGCCGTCTTCTAAGGCGTATATTTAAGAAGAAAGTCGAATGTAGTTCTCTCCTGTTATTTTCATGTACTCGCATATTTGGTAAAGAAGGTTTGCAAGTCGAGTAATCTATGACCGAGGACCTGTTCGAAGTCGTATGATAATAGTAAATATTCAGAGTTACGAATGGTTAGGTGATCACACTGACCATCATACCGTATGATAGGATCGGTCTATGCATAAATCACTAAATGAATGAATGAACAAAGTCTAAGACTAACGTGATCAAACTTATCTATTACAGCGAATTACAGAATCAGCCTTTTAATTTAAGGTTGTCTCTGGAGGTGGTTAAAGTACCGATTGAAAAGGTGAGACCGTATCTAACGGACTTTTCATCGATCCTCGCAAGTGCTTGGATTAGAGCGATCCATATACTTAGACGATAATCTCATAACGTCAATGTATAGTTTGACCTTTAAATCAACTTCTCAAGGAAATTGTGTCTTCAAAGTGATTCTGCTCCAAGCTTCTCCGCATAACAAAACCTCGTAATTACCTGTGATTTGCTAGCTATTTACGGGAATAATAGGACGGCAAGTGTACATCAGCCAGACGTTACTCTCTACATACTGAAAATACTCTTCATTTCTTCTGCTGCTAATGTTGTTCTTTGATCGCAGTAGGGTGAATGTGGCTGACATCTGAGGCTGGGCTTGGTAGGTGTTCCTAAGCCTGGGGTGGTTACCAGGGAAAGACCTCAGTTCCGTTGACCACAAAGTCTCAACAACCGCGTCTGCCAAATGCAAACGAATAAAAAACCGACTCGAGCCGAACTACAACGTCGGCGACAGCAATCGGAAAGAGACCGAGCGAGGAACCAAAGACAACACGCCCAGATATCTTATTATACTCCTGTTCTTTTGGGGCAAGAGATGTTCACATTTGCCAATACCTCTTCTGTGAAAACAATGGCACCAGTCTTGCCGTGGAAAGTTGACACGGATTCTGAAATAGACAAGTGAGAGAGACAGTTCGTATTATTTCAGATATCAAAGCTGACACGAAGTTAGCTTGTTTAATAATAACAAATACTCCGATATGACGGTCTTCCTCGGAAAGTCGAAAGTCCCTTTCCCGGCACACCGAGTAGTTCTAGGGACCCGCTGCCCATATTTTGACGACGTATTGTACAGTGGTTTTAAGGAAGGCATAGAAAATGAGATTAGTTTCGAGAACGACAGTCCGCAGGCCCTTTGGCGGGTGCTTCGCTACATATACACCGGGGATTACTCTGATGAATAGGCTGAGTCTCTAGATTCCGAAAGTTTGTTGCCTCTCTTTTTAAGACTATCCAAATAACGATTATAAGCGACGACCTGGAGTTATTAAAATATCCACGAGTATTTGCTCTCGCAGATATGTTTCGAATAGAAAGATTAAAGAAACTTTCATGCCAGAAGTTCGAATAATAAATACAATAATACTAGATTAGTGATACTTTTCCTGATTATATTCGCGAAGTATATATAACGTCAAATAGCATCGACTTAAATACCACGAGGAAGGTTATAGTGAATGTAGTGGTTTTATACAGAGAAATACTTCTTCAAAAGCGATCGTTTCAGAAGCTTGTTCAAGAGATAAGAGATTTTGCAGTTAATCTTGTATTAGAGATGGCGAAACTTTGACGGCCTTATTTGTTTATTTATTAGTAATTTAGTTTGCCCGTTGTTTGTGATTATTGTGCTCTTTTGCGTCACCAAAAATTGAGAGTCAATTATTTCATCTTTTGCTACTTTAGCAAGATTGCTTCAGAAGTGCGTGACGTTACATGAAAGACTTGGACCAGTGCAAAAAGATTTGCAGGATTTGAAAGGCTCTTCTAGTCCATTTGTTCGATTCAAAGTCAGCAGCAGAAGCTACCTTTCCGACGCTTTTCCGATACTATCCCGGCACCAGCACAATCCTATCCCATACTCAACGTGCGACTGGCCCCTTCATTGCCTGCAAGCAGTCCCATTTTTGTATTAATCGGCTTTGTCTAGGAAGGCCATGTGTCCTCTCCGAACGATGGGATAGATAACTATAAATCAGACTTGAATAGTTAGCACTATCCGATGTCTTGAATGTTTAGTACATACCTTGGAAGGATGCCCATATAGCTCAAAGTAAGCGGTCATCTTCCCCTTCGGAGGTGTTTTGTTTACAAAAAACCATGCGTACTTCTGCATAAACTTGTCGATATCTGCGTGCGCTGCTGTAGGATCGCGCGTCTGCAGTTCGACTTCACCGACGGAATGACCAAAATCTGTCGAGTCTAGCATAATCGTGAATCGATGGTCTGCGACAAAGGTCTCTCGTGTTGTAAGGTAGCGACAGATACTATTCAAGCCGAAGTTGGCTTCTAGCCTTGGGCTATCCTCCGCGGGCGCATATTTAGCAACGAGTCTCTTGATCTCGTCAACCTTATCGGTCTCGTAGAAGGAGGATCGGAGGTAGTCTCCGCCCTGGCGATGTTTGGCCTCCCAAGACTCATTGCGTTTCCGTATCCACACACCGTTCTTCGACAGTTGATTGGCAGAATCGAAGTATTCGTCTTGAAGGCGCTCTGTCTGCTGATGACAAAGGGATCGGAACGGTGGGCTTCCACGGTTTGTTCGAAAGCGTGCGAGGAGGGCTAGGTTGAACGCGAACTTCTGCTCAATCTCGTAGGATCGCATGTTGGGTTTGGTTGCTCGTCAGCGTGCATCGGTCTTCGGAGGTGACCTTGCCAAGTACGCTCCCAAGCTGAGGCTCTTCCGAGTAACCGAGGTCTGGGCGCGCAACAAAAATTTGACACATATCATGGTAGAGCGCCCACTCTGGGAGAAATTGAAATTGAATTCTTCCTGCACAATCAAAAAAATAAATCCGCAACAAACTAATCTTTGACATCCTCGCCCACTAAAACCAGCTATTTATTTACTCCCCAGTCATCAACAAACATTATCACCCTAGCCCAAAATCCAGTCAAGCCTCACCAGTCCAGCAAGTTCGCACTAGTCCCCTGTGGCGCCTTTTTGGTCCAGTCATATATCCCACCTCGATATTTGAAGCTCTCCTCATCCCAAAAGACACTTTGGAGCGCCTTCTCGACCCCAACCTCAAGTATTGACGATGAGGGGTCGTTTCCCTTGTCAAGAAACCTCATATACTCATCCAGAATAAGGTAGGAGTCTTTCATGACGTTGTTCGGTTCTGCGACAAAGCCACTGCAAGTTGAATGCTCATTACAGAACTGCTGAAACTCCTCGTCCGAGATGACGAACCGAGTTGCATTGCGAAGCATGGCATCCGAATCGTTTTCGCCCTTGACCACGAGGACTTGGAAACATTTCCACCGGAAGGGTGCAATCGCCTCGATTGCTGTGCGCATGTCTTCCGCAACGTTGTACTTGTTAACGACGGTGTTGACTTTGAACTTGATCCCATACTGCTGACAGAGTACGCGAAGCCGTTTGAAATTCTCTAGGTGGGAACCCTTGCCACGCCCGATCTTGATATTTGTTGCCTTGTCAAAGGAGTCGCACGAGACCGCGATGATATCAATGAATCCTCCGTAGGTCTCGAGGAACTGCGGCTTCACTAGGCTTCCATTCGTTACAATGGACACCGATTCGAGCCCTATGTCGGTCTTGCAGTACCTCGCCAACTCCCCGACAAATTTCGGGTACAACATCGGCTCCCCGCCAGCAAAGTTCAGTTTCTTCATCCCAGCCTGCTGTAGCAAGGCCAAGCCTTTCTTGGCATCGTCGAGCGGGAGGATGTACGACGTCTTCGCAGTGTTAAAGCAGAAACCACACTCATAATTGCATTTCCTGGTCAGGTGGTAGTTGACCGAGATCGGGACTAGTGACGGAGATTTTGGGCCCCTCTTGCGGAGCATTGCAATAACTGCAAAGAACGCGAGAAGCGTCGCAATATAGATATACGACATTATTCCTTTGGTATCAATGGTGGGTTTGAAGTGCGGAAATGGGAGATTGGGCTTAAGAGTGCGGTGTCACCCTCTTTATACGAAGCCAGGCTGCACCACAAAATTGCAGATGCAGATCGACTGCATGTTGGTGACACAGGAGAGCAGATGCGGGTGCCCGACATGCGCCACTCGATCAACCAAATACACACCCTCAGAATCTTCTCCTCGTTCCAAAAGTCGTCAGCAACAGAAATGGAGGAACAGCTCCGCAACATTGAGGCCAGCCCTCGTCATCGCCTTATGGTGTATGTTATCGGTAAGGCTGTAATCTAGAGACGTTCCTGGCTTGGTCTAACAGATTCTAGGCTGTCCTGGTTCAGGGAAAGGGACCTTGTGCAAGCTTTTGGTACAGGATTATGGCTACCGCCACGTCTCGGTGGGAGATCTACTGCGAAGTTTGGTAGATGGGAGTAGCGAACCAAATACCGATGTGGTGAATCATGTCCAACAGGGCACACTGGTGCCTACAGCAGTGCTTCTCAATATCTTAGAGCGTGCTATCATGCCAGAGACTAGGGACTCTATCCTGGTAGATGGCTTCCCACGAAGGTTGGATCAAGGTATTGCTAGCGAGGAACAGGCAAGTGATCGAGTTCCCCTATATTGGATCAGACTCTCACATCTCCTAGTTTGGAAAACCTGATCTTGTCCTCTTTTTCAATTGTAACGAGTCTGTTGCGAGAGACCGCTATCTGACCCGGAAATTGGAGGGGAGATTGACCGACAACAACGAGATGTTTCAACGCCGATACAACGAGTTCACGCTCTTGAATCGTGCTGTGTTGGAGTATTATTCGGGGCTCGGGGTACTTGTTACTGTAAGTTTGAATAAGTTAAGGCTAGAGAAGATGCTAATTGAATCCTAGATTGACACGAATGTGGAAACGACTATAAGTTATCAACGACTCGTGGCGGCTTTGAAGCTTGATAATGAACGACGAGAGAGTCACTAGAAGAAAACGTTGTGACCTCTTCGCATTTGAAATTCCTTAGATATTCCTCTTAAGCACAACCTATACTATATTTCGAGTCTTGCGTGAGCCCAATAATTCTTGACGCGCAGCTGAATTGAATTTTGCGGTGCCAGCTGCACTTGCACTTTGGGTTTGGAGTCTCCCAGTCCAGGCTGGGCGGTGACGCTCTCTTGTACTCCCACACCTACTTAATTCATTGGACTCTGGCCCACAACACGTACTGCATGATTCCTAGCATGTTTCGTCTCGTACTCCCACACTTGTTGGATTCGCCCTCAAGACTACTCTTACGCTTCCGGGTTCGGCAACATCTCTGCACACGCTGAAAAGTCTATTTGCCAAGCTTCAACCTCGATCTACAAGAGAGGCGTACCTCATGAAACCCATCCCCTCACCCCACACCTATGGTGGGGGCTGAAATCGCGGGGTAATAAATGGGACCGCCATTCCAGAGCTAGCAACGCGGTGTAGCTCCGGGTGACTTGCAGCCACCGATCAAAAGCTTAACCCTTTAATTGATCATGCTCCACAAGCTTAACTGTGATATAAACCTACGATTACAAAGACTGAGTCTTATCCTCCTCTGAGTTCACGATGCCTTTCAAAGCCTTCCACTCCGAACATACCCTGGGACGCACATTCTGGTTGGTAGTTTACCTCAAGAAACCCTCTCGCCGTTAGAGTCGTTGACAAAGGCCATACGCTTAATCATCGTACTGCTGCATAACATCTACCAACATCAAAGAGTCATCATCTCCCCTACTACCTATTCCTGCCAATCTTTAAGAACGCGATACTCGATCTTGCCGCTGACGCCACTATCAGGCAAATACTGGAATGCTCGGCTTGTGGAGAAGTTATATGGAAGGTTGTAGGCAGAACAGGCAATACCAGAAGGAATCCAGGCTGCGGAAGAATAAATCGTCAGCACGCTATACCAAATAGACAAGAGAGCAGACTTACTTGGTGTACACGTCTGGTTGGGATTTGGCTGTACGAAACAGCTTCCACATGAAGACGCAACACTGTCTTGATCGCTAGCCGTAACACACAAATTGAAGAAGAGACGATGACTGGTGGTAGAGGGTTGTGGGGCACATCTGCATTCATGGCAGGGTGGAACGCATATGAACTGTCCAACGCATTGCATGAAGACGCCGGAGATCTCTCGAGGATCTGAAGTCGGAGTGACCGGACCGTGGGTTGTATGGCACCTAAGAGAGAGGAAGAAGTACTCTGGATGCCTTAAAATTTAAGAATTCTAAACGTATATCCTCAAAAATAAGGCTTTCAGTACTAATTTTAATATATCGAGCTCTTAATTTCCCATTACCGATATATGCGATATATTCGATTATTCATTCAACATCGTACTTCCTAATTTGGACGATACGATATTCTTTATTCATTCAACGAATTCGATATCGGCACGATATTATCGAATAATTTAATATCGGCGCCGAAGCCTGACCCGCAACCATGTTCTCGATTTCGCCAAACGAGCTTAGTCACTCACTCACCTTGATCCCTGGGAGCAAAGGTTGTGCAATTTTGGTTGGAAAGCGGCGCGGATTCGCTCTCTATCCCAACAACTGATTTCAAATCAATATGACAAAGAGTTGATTGCACGAAATGGAGCATCGAATGTTGACTGAGGTGCAAATGCTGCTCCAATAGTAGTCAACAGTGTTTGATTATCATGCGGCTGATCTTCTACCCCGCCTCAAAAAAGAGCTGTGGATGCAACCTCTTTTGTTATCGAAGTCTCTTTATTCGATGGGGTAAATGGCCGACCCGAGGAGCACACCACCATAGAATGTAGCTAAGCAAATTAAGCAACACTGTATCTACGAGACCTTGCTAATCATCCGACTTACTGCACGCATTGCCAGCCAAGGAATTGACAGCAGATTTGGCACTTCGGGGCTTATTTGCCGGCCGTAGATCGAGTATCTAACTATTATAAACCCTTTTCTCTTTGCCCGGGACCTATTCTTATAACTTACCTTCTTCCACCAATTCTCACCTTTGTTGCCTTCACTGTTCTACATCTTATCATCTCGCAAGTTTCTTCAGTTCATTATGAAATACGGCTATAACCCTGAGACCTATGCTGGTCTGCCCACAGTTTCTCAGAACGCCGCAGCCTTCACTCAGAAAGACGCAGAGAAGGCTCTAAATGACTGTGGGAAAGTATTTTTTAACCATTTTTTGCAAAAAACTTATGGCCTAGTTCTTTTATATAGCCATTTCCAGTTGACACCCGAAGAGTTTATGGTCGAGTACCGTGGCATTGCTACGGCTTGGCCCATCAATACAAAACTGCCTGTCGGAGCAGGTATTCATCCTACGACTTGGGCAATCACTGATGGCGCCTTGGAGCCTTACGAATTCGAATTTATTCTAGGGTCTGAGAAGTTTGGGGATGATTTGGATGATATTAACTTGAGCTTTGTCTAAGAACTGTAAGTATATTTTTTTATTCACTTGCCGGCAGCTATTTAGTTTTAGCCTTTTATTATTTATCAGCTTTCCTATTGTGGATTATGATGATTAATATATCTATTTTTTTTATAGATATGGTCTACTTCAAGAGAAACACTTTTTCTCTACATTTAGTCTTGTAAAGTTACTAATTAGAGAAGATGCTATTCGAGACGCTTACGAGATTACAATTAGAAGAGCAAGTGTCACTTTTCTAGGCGATAATATAAACAAAGGCGTGGGAGCTATGTGGCGATTCGAAGAAAATAGGACAGGCATATGTGCTCGAGTCTGCTCTCAGTGCAAAGACTTAGGAGATTGCTAAATCCATAGTCTTTAATAGTAGTTGTTAATGTTTCTTCTAGTTCTAGTAAAGTGTCACGATCACGGGACCAGTGGACCATAGGCTCAGCAGGTTCGGCCCTGCAGTAGACCCTAGGTCACGTGATTGAGTATTATGGTACAGTAAAACTCCAGCTGAGTAATTTCACTCTATTCGAGAGTTAAACTCTCTCTATCAAGCCTTGGGTGACGACTATGCGTTATAACAAACGTGAAAACTAAGTCCAGCTTTTAAAAGCCTTCCGCGACATCGAGACTCAAGAATGGCAGCCGGTCTCCCAGGTTGGATTTTTTATGATTGGCCTCCGACTCTACACACCACTCATTCAAAATTCTGGTTGCTTGGGCTTACAAAAGCTAATTATTTTATTCAAATTAGGAAAGACCTCCATCCCTTCAAATAGCCGCACGATAATTTATCGCGAGACTTGACTGTCGAAATGAGTGTGTGTTTAGCGGCTGAGAAAGACCGGGAGTCAGAGGTTACAGACTACAACGGAGAGAATCTGGACTAAGTAGACAAGTACATCAAACAGGTCAAGGTTAGAGCATTTGAGAACGAGAGGTTGAAGTAGGCAAAGGCGAATTTGGAGGTAGAATCAGTGGAAGTTGCTACGACCATTGAGCATGCAAAAGCTGAGGATATAGAGGATGTCACGGAAACGGAGTGTAGTAGAAAACGCCGCAGGGACTAGAATAGTCAATACAGTGCATTCATGGAATCTTACTATCTACACTTCCCTCTTTTCTCCAGAAACGTGCCGTAAGACAGAACCAAACTCCATCCACCCAAATGAGCATAATAGCTTTTCCACTTCACTAAGCAGCAAAACGTCATACTTAGATCACAATACATTCAAACCAATATCCGAGCAACTACATACAAGAAGTGAATGACATCTATCTAACCTCCCTCTTCCCTCACATAAGTCATGCTTTTCACTCCCTATCTCATCTCGCTCATCATACACTCCTTCCTATACATCTAAAAAATCAAACAAACGCCACCCGCTTTCCCTAACTAATGAATACCAAATATCAAAGCTCAATGTTCACGCTCGGGACTGCTTCTCCCTTCCATCAGTTCAATGATCTCAGCTACCTTTCCCTTCGCTCTTCTCGATGGACTGGGCGTCCTGCTCATATCCCTCTCAACCTCTCGCTCTTTCTCCTTCCCCTTCTCATCCGTGCTAACAGATTCCTCATGATCATCCTCAGGCTCCTCAGTCTCCAACAACGGAACGCCATCCATCGCCGGAAGCGTCTCCGGCGGCGGAATAAAGCAATCCTTCAAACTCCTCTTCCCACTCCCCTTCTTACTCTTCACACTCCCACTTGCCGTACTAGCACTGCCGAACGAATTAGCATAGTAAAACATCGAAACGAAAGTGAGGGGCTCTGGGAGCCGGGAGCTGTCTCAAGAGCTCTCGTTTGCAATATGTCTCGGCTCTACCCGGCTCTCGGCTCCCAAAGCCCTCATACAAGAAAACAGTAAATTAGTATGGGGATTTGACATACTCATCCCTCACATCATGATTAACAACTCGCAACTTCTCCTTCGGCACTGTAAACATAACCTGTACAACGCGATTCTCGATTGCGCGCTCAATATCCCACTCATCGTAGTCATCTTGATCGATATGTCCCCCTCTCATACCCGGACTTGAGAGCTCGCCCGTAAATGTGTTGGATCGTTCTGCTGGGTCAGTGCTGTCTTCCCAATCACCTTTTCCTTGTTTGCGGCGCCAGAGGGTGGCGCCTGCACTGACTGTTCTCCTGGGTGCCCGACCCACGCTTCCTGTTGCGTAGTCGTATCTGGCGGGGCTGTTTTCTCTGCTGCTGTGACTATGGGCTGGACTTTCGGATCCTGGAGAATCACCCACGAAGACTCGACGGATGCTGCCAAGCCAGCTGGCTCGACCTTTGCCTAAGCCTGTCGGTTTGGACTTCGAGGGGCTGCCGACAGAATCTGCTTGTGATCGAGTCGGGGATGGCTGCTCAGAGGGCAATTCGTCTGGTCGTGGTAGAAGACTTTCCCCCTCTGCCTGCAGAGCTGGAAAGCTTAAGGTTGTATGCGCTGTATTGAAGGATTTGGAAGATGCTGACCCTGAAATACTTCCCGCGCTTCGTGGTGGGTGGTAGTTCCTTGGACCATGAGGTCCTGCTCCGTCGAGGACTGGGCTCAGAGTCGTGCTCGGTCCTGTAGTCGAAGCAACCCCGGAGCTGAATGGGTTGATGCCCGTTATGAGCCCTCTTAGAGAATTGGCTCGGGATCGCCCTTGAGAGCTGGATCCTGATCGAGAGATGCTCATGTTGGAGATAGCAAGGCTGCGTTCCGTACGCTCACTGAGGTTACTTTCCGTTCGTCCGCTATCCTCCTCCCCAGAGACAGAATGAGCAGTTGCATGACTAGCGGCAATGAGCTGTGCTCGTCGAGTAGGCGAAACACGACCAGCTTGCGAATGCCGTATCTGAGAATTGAGCAGAACATCCGCTGCGGCCCAGTCCGCAACCCATTCCTGTATCTCTCGTTGTCGAGACTCCGCCGGACTTTCAGGCTCTAGGGATGTCTGACCGGAACTATCCCGACGGACATTGGTGACGATGCTTGGTGGAGGATCTCGGAATGGATCTGAGTATCGGTTTTGTCTTGAGCTGCTTGGACCGACAGAAGGTTCTCCAAGTGCAACGCCGATATTTTCATTCGCAGGCTGACTACCATCTTCATCTGCTTCATAGATTGGATGGATTACACCAGCCGTTCCAAGACTATTGGCTCTGCCAAACACGGCTGGTGGACCAAGGCCTGTTTGATTGTATTCCAAAGCCGCCTGAGTGTAAGCACCTCTGGCGCTTCGAGAGTGCAATGGCTTTCTTTGTATTTGTCGAGGGGGCGGAGGAACTGGCCCAATCTCTCCAATGTTATGCAAGCTCTCGTACCCAGCTACAGCACTATTGGAGTCATGAATTGGGCCGCTATCCACCATTCCTTCATTGTTGTTGTTCCATCTCCCATTAGACCACGGGAAACCTCCACTCTGGCTCATTTCTCTGTTAGGTGTACCATAGAAATCTCTTGAACCGGCATCAAGACGGCCAAGGCCTTCCTCTCTTGCTTCTCGTCTCCGCCTGTTTCGTCGAAAGCAACAGAAGCAGCAGAGGATCGCGGCGATTAGGGCAGCGAGTCCAAGTCCAAGCCCAAGTCCGAGTCCAAGCTTGGTTGAGCTTGACTTCTTCGACGCTGCTGCTGCTGCAGCGCTGGAAGATGCACTAGCTATCGCAGCCGTGTATGATGGATTAGTATAGTTCGACACCCATTCCATGCTAGTAGCATTGAAGAAGGTGACTTGACTTGCTGTCGTCGCTCGTTTCGAATTTCCCGTTGTGGAAATGTTATATCCTCCGAGCACCATCATTACGTTCCCAGGCAGCATGACAGCTCCATGACCATAGATGCCATTCTCCGAAGGTTGATTTGTGGGAACCGACCATTTCCAATCTCCTGTTCCTCCATATCCTGTCCCCAGGTTCAAGACTGCAAGTTGTGGATCCGCTGCCTGGGTGAGGTCTCCAACCCAGCCGCCGTATACAATGATGCTGGAGCCATCTTCTGTTAACACGGCGGAATGTCCAGATCTGCTATCCACGGAGGTAGCAGTACTCTTGATGGCCAATTCAGTATTTGGACTTGCGGATGGAGATGGCGAGTCTACGCTCATAAAGCTCCATCCTTCTTCTGGTAGACTCCAGACTGCAACCTGGCTCATGTTTATGAAAGCAGTCTGCGTATGTCCTCCAACCAGCACGTAACTCCGTTCCTGTGTTTGAACCCCAGTTGCATTCGAGTAAGTTGGCGTGAGTCCCGTAATCGTGAATCCTGCTTCAGCAATTGGAGGTCCTCTGCTCGAAGTTACATCGAGGGTGTAAGAAGCCGTCGTCGATGGAGAACCATCTGGTGCAAGTCGCAGCATATGATTCGAGTATGAAGCCGCAGATTGCCAAGTTGCAGTTGTAGCCGTGGACGACGGACACATACCTCCAAAGAGGTATATGTTCGTCTCGGATGCATTGGCCTCGACCAGTGTCGAGAAGCTGAATCCTCGTGCGAGGAAGTCAGCTCCTGGCAGATCCGCAGATGTCACATCGCTAGCTGCGGTTGTGGTCTCTGTCGCCCAAGTACCATTCCCGATGGTACTCGTATTCGAGGGTGTAAATCTCCATAGTGCCGAGCTAGTATTCGTCAAGCAGGACCCAGTATATACCGATATCTGTCCAACTGAGGATATAGACGGTATAAACGCATCTGTATCACCAGTGACGAATGGCAGATCCGAGGAAAGAGTTTCGAGCGTTAAATTGGAGAGATTGAGCGTCGATGATATGTTGAGTGAGACAAATTGTGTTGACCCGGAAGCTGGCAGGAATGCATATGCAATATCGTGGTTACTTGCAGAGGAATCGGGAAGTAGTATCGTCGTAGGCTGGTAAGGAATCGATTGGGATATCGCAGCTGCGAACAAGAGGGGCAATGTGCAGAGAGCACTGACGTGGTTCCTCATGATGCGTTGTCGACAATATTAACACGAATTATATAGGAGGATATCGAACCGCTTCGTATCTCACATCGTCGTCCAGATAAAACTGTCTTGTCAGTAAACTAAGTCCTAGATAGAGCAGAACAAACACTCTCAAATCTCTCGCAAGACTCAATCCTGTTCGTCTCGTTGACAAAGCTCACTCACTCACTCACTCGGGTTCTTTTCGAAGATCGCAAGCAAGGGACGTTCGGTGACCATAAACGAGACCTTTGATACCTAGTAAACACGCGCCACTTGGGTAGATCCCGATGGAGCGTCAATCGACGAATCACGGAGGATATTTCCCCTCTTTCTTCAAGGGTTGAGCGGCAGGGACTTGTTTACGCGCGTTGCTATAGTGATTTCCGAAAAAGCACAGGGTATAGATTACATGTGAAGACATGTTTCGGATGGGATCTTGGATTTGAGACATTTGTCGCGTTGTTGTTGATGATGTTTTGGAAGTGAATGTTGATGGTTGTTCCTATCTTGCTATTTTGGAAGGTAAAAATTGTTGTTGGAGTGAATTGTGACTTCTTGATGAAGACCGAGGTGTTTTGATGATGACATATCAGAATGTGGGGTAGCTTGAGCATCGACCCCGCGATGATCAAAGAAAGCTGATCGAAGCATCGACCACAAGTTTGTGAGATCTTCAATTCTATTATATACAGAGAAGCAAGTTCTCTCTTTCTCTAGCAAATAAAATTGTCCACCTATAATTGATTCACACATTCTTATTCTCACTCTCATACAACCTCACCCAAAATGCCAGCCTGCACAATACTCCTCCTCTCCCTCATACCCACAACCACCATCCCGAACTTCCTCAAAGCCCTCTCCACCACTCCTCTCAAACCAATCGTCATCTCCCGCGTCATCCGCTGGATAATCCTCCCCACCAAACTATCAACCTCTGCTCTCCTAGCCCAGTAAGTTCACCCACACTTATATCTTCAAACCTCAGTGCTAATCACCACAAAGAAACATATCCTGGACACTCCTCCTCATCCTCCCCACCCCCTCCGCTTCCCTCCCCCCGTCCCTCCACTCCCAAATATCCCACACCTGGACCATCCAAGCCGGCGTCCCCTCCCGCCTCCTCCAAGATTTCCCCTCCAAAAACGCCACCCTCCTCCACCCGCCACCATCCACCATCCCTCCCCTAACCGACAGCCTCTCCTCCCCACTCTCCTCATCCTCCGCCCAAGACCTAGAACTCTCCACCGAACTCCAGCACTGGATATCCAGCAACCCGCTAGGAGACTCCGCGGTCTCGATGCTGAATTTATTGGCGTTTAAGGAGGGGATGAAGGGGGAGTATTTGAAGTATGGGGCGGAGTTTGCGAGGTCGATTGGGAGGAAGAGGGGTGGGGATGCGAAGATTGTTGGGAGTGTTATTCACGGAGATGGTAAAAAAGACAAGGAAGAAGAGGGAGAGCAATGGGACGAGATAGCACTAGCGCATTATCCCAGCCTAACGCATTTCGCGGATATGCTTGCGAGTGAGGATTTTCAGAGCGTGAATAAGAGGTATAGGGTCGGGAGTTTGCGGGATACGGCGATTTTGTGTACGTGTGAGGTGGGGCTGGGGTTGGATGGAGATGGGAGGGCGAAGTTGTAGGGTTTGGGGAGGGAGGGATGGAAAGAGGGAAGTTATGGCAATGTCTGGATATGGGGCTGGGATTTGGGGAGCTTTTGAGAATCTGAGTATGTCTTGGACAATGGAACCTGACTAATGCTGGGCTATCAGACAGGCGAGCTACTTGATTCAAGGTGTAGGAGTCGGAGCCGGAGCCGAATGGACTACTTCATATCCAAGGTTTCTTCTTATACTCTAGAAAAAGATGCGTTGCTTTTGGATGTATATGGAGCCGGATCCAGTGTGTAAACCGTCTCCAATAACGAGTCTCAACTCAATATTGTTTCATACACCCAAATTCCTTCTCGTGTCATTGCCAAATGTCACCTCGAACAATAGCTTCAAGGTCAATATCTAGTCCGCAACCAGACATTGATATTGTCTAATATCCAAGACTCCATTGAGGACTGAGATCGTGTTAATGTCTGTCACCTTGACAGCGCATCATTGAGGAGAGACAGCGTCTTCGTCAGCTTCCTTCTCCTCGCCAATAGAAATTGATCCGCCAGCTTAGCCTCGAGGGGTAGCTAGCTAAAGCCAAGCTAAAGTCTGAATAAAAAAAAAATGCGAAGCTTTTTTACCAATTAAATCGCGAGGATTCTGCCCAAATCGTAGCTTTTTTTCTCGTACCTAACTTTTCCACGTGATCTCGAAAAAAGCAGACAGTGGGGAGGTGGGACCGGATCCTGCCGTTTCGGCTCAACTGGTCCTTGTTAGTTGTCGTGCTTGCTCCCGTATGATGGAGCGGCGGCATACCAATACGTCAATCGCCTTCTTGACTCTTCTGTCTTGAGTCGAGCTGTGCCTCAGCACCCTGTTAGGTGCGAGCATACCACAGAGCCTATGCTTTGGCTTCCACAGTAATATCTTTTCTTCCACTCAAACCCACTCAACCACCATTTCTCTTCAAAACCTCCTGCACAAGTTTCTGCCCCGGGAAATCCACAATCACAACCCCAGTCCTCGCTCCATTCCCCTCCTTTAACCACTTCCCCGTCCGATCATTCATACCCACCACACTCCCATTATGATTCCCGGTCGCAGCTTCAATCGGCAGCACACCCACACTCGCACTCAAATGACTCAAATACAGCTTCCCATCTCCAGCCTCCGTCCCATTATCCGCAGCCCACAGATGCTCTTGTATAGCAACCCACTTCTCGTCCAAATCGGCCAGATCCGGCACCTCCCAATAATCTTCGAGGTCGACGAGTGGGGACTCCCATTTAATGCCGTACTCAGCGGGGTCCTCGCCAAAGTTCTGCAGAATGAGGATCTTGCCTCGGAGCGAGCCGAGGGTAGGGACAACGGTCGGGCCAGGTGTTGGTGGGACGTAGAAATGCTGGGAGCAGCCGGATGCCGTGATGGTGGAGTTGAGGCGGTAGTAATTGAAGGAGGTGATGAAATCGATGGTGGAGTTTATGGGTGTGCTTTCTTCCTTTAGGCGCATGAGGATCGTTTCGCCCGGGTTCGAGTCGAGGAAGGAGAAGAGGGTTATTAAGACGTTGGCGTAGGTGTGTTCGGTATAGGAGTCTTGGTGGTAGATGCGGAGTTCGTCGTTGTGGAGACGGGCGCGGATGTCGAAGTAGCGGATGCCGGCTTCGAGTTGGGTGGTTAGAGGGTGGTTTTGGCATTGGTAGTCAGGGCCGTTGATGATTGCTGTCATGGAGTCGTGTGTCCCTGGGATGGAGAGATTGGTGAGGCTTGTGTCGGATGGGAGGGCTGTCATCCATCTTGGAGCGTGGTAGGAGTTTATGTCGAAGGAGTATTGGGATAGATAGCCATCGTACTCAGGGAGGAGTGTAGGTTGTGATGCAAAGGAGAGACTTGCAAGGCTGAAGGTTGGAGAGGCACTTGCTGAGAAGTAGAAGATAAGTAGCACTGCTAAGCTGATGATAAGAAGAATGCGGAACCTCGACGAAAGCAAAGCCATCATATGCACGAGGTTCACAACCCTCGATTCTGGCAGATGTCAGAGATGTTCATAGCCCATCAAGCAACATGATACAGTCGTTGTAGAATGCTCATGATGTGAGTGAGAGGTTGAGAGCAAGGCTGCTCGGCCGAACCTTACACGTTTCCATGCCGGTGTGCCGATTGGTGGGGTCTAGAATAGCACGGTCCAGGGGAAAATGGACTTGTTTTCACGTGAAAGCTACTGCAGGTACAATATTGGCAGACGCGTCCAGCGAAAAATAAAATACGAGCGGTCAGAACTCAAAAAGGATCGATTGAGACTTTCCACCGCATCGGATGTCAGAGGAGGAAAGCCGCTCGCATTGAAGATTGATGATTGAGAAAGATAAGAGAAAGTTCACGATGCATGTCACGCATCTTTGACCTGGTCGAGATGCGCAGGGAAATAGATAGGAGAAAGGTCCGAATGAATCCGTTGACATGGGGAAACTGCATGGGAATTTGCGAATGCAGAGACTGAAATTGGACCCGGATAAGCTCAGCAATGCCCGTCTAAAAAGAAGTTACTTGTTCGAAATAAGGAATCTTCGACCAGGTTTGCTCGGTAGCAATTTACCAGACCCCTGATTCATGGAGGATGGCGGTAAGCAAAGGAGTTCATCAGATGGAATTGTGTTTGAATTCATAATTTCTTTTGCGGCCACCCCTCCTCGTTGCCGCTGTAAGAGCTGCACGCACATGCATTGGTACTAGGATACTTCCAAGTCTCAATAAAATCCGTCCTCCGAACAGCATATTATTGTTTTTCGGTCGGTGGATGCACCCTTTGGAAAGATAAGCTGCCTTGATTTTGAGAGCGCTACTGGGTCCGATTATCTCAGAAATGCACGTCGCCACAACCACTCGAAAATATCCAAAGTATGGCGAGATGAGCTCAAGATGTGACTTTTGGTATTCCCGAGAAAGAATTCAAGAAAGAAAGAATTCAAGAAAGAAAGAGAGAGAGAGAGACAGAATATCACACGGCAGAGATATTCTGATCTGCGCCACGAAAGCACTCCGACCGTTTCAATGGCAGCCGCACGCCTCCCGACTACACCCGTTCGGGAATTGTTGAAGCTTTTCTCAATTTCCCGCTGCGCGGCAAGCACACGGAGTGGAACAACGATGACGACGGGATCGGCCCAATGCACGCCCTGCCATTCGCTTCGGAAGAGCTGGGATGACCTTGAAACAATCCTTTGTTCTTTGCGGGGAAATTATCGGTGAAAGCCTGAAAGGAGAGCAGCGAACGGAGGACGAACTCTACTGTACTGCCGACGAGATTGATAATCATCTTCTTCAAGTGGAAGTAAGAACCGTTGATGGCCTCTGTAAACATGATACAGTATCATGCCTCACCTGCTCACATGTGCTCTGCAAGAATACGAAGTGTGCATTGAACGCTAGTCCACAACCACCACCAGCATCGTATGACAACTGTAGACAAGAACCCAACGTATGACGAAGACGGTGCCAACAACGTTCTTTCGCTGACGGGAATATCTCCGACGATGAAGATAGAAATGGGAGATGTCTCTAATGAGCGAAATGAAAGAAATAATTATTATAAATATAAACTGTAGTCACCAATCATACCCGTACAGAATGAATATGTTTACCACTTGGCCTCAACTGGCTCGGTGCTCGGCGGCAGCTTGGTCTCTTCTCCCCTGGCCAAGAAACTGGGGTCTTCCATGGCAAAGCTCCAATGTGGCATAAAGTTGTGCATGAAGATGTGCATTAGCGAGTCGTGCAAGGATAAAAACGAGCAAGCAGTTGAAGTGAAGTGGGCAAAATCGACGCGAGCCAGAAATCTCGTGCTGCTTTTGCCGCCTTTCTGCTGCTCGTCCTCCTTCCACTTCATAAAAACCAAACCAAAACTTTATTGTGGCCGTCTATTCTCTCGTTCGCTCCGGCTTCCTGCCTTGAATTCTTCTCTCTTTCTCCCCTTAGTTCATGACTGCCTGTTGTTTCAAAAGTCAATCAATCAATCACTCGCTCGTTCCTTCCATTCATCCAGTCCCAGAAACTTTCACTCAGGCTCGCTGGCCGACGAGTCCTTCGTTGAATTTTATTTTCCCTACGGTGCACGGTATCCACACTGGTCCACGGCCTAACTGCACTCACTCATCTTGAATCCGTTCTTGAACCATCTTCTTCCTACGCAGTCGCCCATCCCCAACGTGGAAATCTAAATCTAAATCGTCGCTGGGCTCCACTACACGGCCCTCCACCGGTCACCTTTGCATCTCCATCTTGCATCTGCTCGTACCAGCGCAAACGGCTCTACCTTCTGCAGAACCTTCTGCCGCTGTTCTTCTCGTCTTCTCGTCATTCTCGAGTCAATAACAAACGCGACAGTGATGTGGCTGTGATTGTCGGACTGACATTCACTTGCTTCTGATTCAATGGGATATCTTCATTGATATTTCGCGTCGTTTGCATTCCTCGTCAAATCCATAGGACCAACCACCTACGATACTGAGAATCTCTCACCCACGACCGTCGATCCGACCGCGATAAACTCTCTGCCTCTCTGCCAAGATGTTTTCGCAGCGTCGGTGCTATCTGCTCGTACTGGATGCATTCTGCTTCAACCTTCTCCTCTGCTCGGTGTCTGCGCTTAATGTCGAATATTGCTCGTCCCTCAACACTGCAACTACCGCCAAAAGTAAGTAACAACTGCTAATCGTATTCAAAAAGTGAAACTAATGTGAGGCTTGTCCAGACTCCAGCATATACCAGTCCAATGGCCTCTGCCACGACTTCTGCCTCTCCAATTATGCATTCGCAGTTCTTCAAGGCGATGGATGTTGGTGCTCGGATTATGTGCCTGGCACTACCACAACTGGATGCGATTCTACGTGCCCCGGCTACCCTGACGATCTCTGCGGTGGAAATGGACTTTACGGGTACATTGCGTTGACAATAGAACCATCTGGCACAGAGGGAGCAAGCTCTGCGGCAGCATCTTCAACATCTGCATCTGCTGCTACTCAGGTTAGTTTTCCCAGTTGATGTCCACCAGCCTCTTCATTTTCTTCTGTACTATATACTCGACTGCACCATCGCTTGCCCATTAAGGCAGCTGTAATGACTTGCAATGACAGGTGACTGTCACTGCCACTCCTCAAGCTGTGACTGTTGTTGAAACTCCCACGACGTCTCCATCTCCGTCTCCTGCAGAAAGTTCCACGAGCTTTAGCTCCTCAGTTGTATGCTCCTTTCCTTGGCTCGAGAACCTTTTTCTACGCAATCAATTCTTTCAGCAAACATAGACTAACAATGTGTAGTCTTCGACCGAATCCTCAACTACGCCAATCACAACATCATCAAAAGCACTGACAAGTAGCTCGTCGTCGTCCTCGTCCACATGGACTGCTACGCCCGTAACTTCGCTCGAAACTGTGACTGGGCAAGTCAGAACTGTTACGGTTACTCCGACTGCGCCTCCAACATCAGGGAGCTCGACTGGCATTACTCAAAATAAGAGTAGTGGGGGATTAAGCACAGGTGGCATTGTCGGCCTTGTTTTCGGTATCCTGGCACTTGTGGCCTCAATAGCCGGTATCATATTCTGTTGCATACACACTCGACGTCGTAACAAGGCCGAAGAATACAACAACATGAGCAGGCGGGGTAGTAGCGCTGGGCTAGGTTCTGCAGGAGAAACCGTACCTTCGCGGACAATGAGTCAAAACTCAAGATTTGTTCTTAATACGGATGGTCGGCAAGTTGTGGAGACTTGGGAACCTGGTGATATGCCTGGGATTAGGACGAGCAGATTAATGCCTGTCGACCCTCGATTAGATCCTTTCGCCGCAGTCTATCAAAGAGGAGAGAACAAGAGTCGAGAGAGCATTAACACGATCCGTGATGACCAGGACTACTCCCGACGAGTAGCAGGTCCAGCACCGATCTTACGAGCCACTAATCCCGACGATCTGGATGACTAGATCTGGATTTTTTTTCTTTTCGAATACGAACGATATGACCACTTTCCTTTCACCAGCATACAGCATTTGAACGTTACGCACTGTTTCAGCGGACGTCGGCGTTACAGTGATATGGGAGCATGGTAATTGCCTTAAAAACAATGGGTAATTGAGCGAATGACAAGGCAGCATTGGGATTTGCAACATGCAGCTATGAGTGGGCTGGTGTTCCAGAGCTCATACCTGCCTGGTCTTTCTCTCACATTGTATTATAGAAATCACGGAGTCCTGAAATGGTGTTGGATTGTGGGACTGCTACGCATGGCAAGAGTTGCTCATGCCGTGGCTGTACATACGGAAAATAGAGCATACTGGCTTGCACAAATCGTGGAAGATGGAATGAATACCCATTTGCAAGAATATTCGTTGAAATCCGAGTTCGTCTTGATTTTGTCCTTATTGAGTGAGATCGAATCCAGTGGCTTGCAATGCTTCATTCGCGATTATAGCTCCACCGCTTCTTTATGTTCAGGTTCGATTCTACCCTCGAGTCACAAACCAGAGTCAAAGCACGCATTTGACCGGTAAACTTCTCACTTATTCATAATGTCGTCGTTACGAACTATTATACAACATGTTGTTGCAAAGTGAACTCTTTTATCTTCCCATTTTGCTTCTATTCTACTATCCCCTCCCCCTCCCTCTTCCCCAGCACCTAGTACTTCTAACCTAAGTACCAAAATCCTGTCTATTGTTTTTTCTTTATTGCACACGGTGTAACCTATCCTCACAAACAATAAGTCATTTAAATGCTGATCGTCGGGTAAGTTATGGAGTTAAGTTGAGTTAGGTTGGGTTAAAGCGGCGGGGGGTGGAGGGTGAGTTGTGAATCTTGTGGGTGAATGGAACTCGGGTATTTGTTTCTGGGGCGGACCCGGGGGTTTGTGAGGGGAAGGTTGTGAGTTCTTGTGAGTGCTTGTGAGGAAGGAAGGAGGAAGGAAGGGGGAAAGGAGGGAAGGAGTAGAGGGAAAGGGTAGAGTGTTGGAGTGTTGGAGTGGAGGAACAGTGTCGTCCCGTGATGTAAAGGGGCGGGTTAGACGAGTAGAGTGACTAGCGAATATTTTTGTGTTTATGTCTGTGGTTGTGTCTGTCTGTCTGTGGATTGAAAGATTGTATGTCTGGGTTGGGAAATGGTGTGCGGTAGAGGGAGAGGGAGAGTGAGGTGGTGATGTTACAATTCTGAGGTGTGGGTGGTGGGTTGGTGGTTTGAGGAGGGATGGGGGGAGCATGTTGTGGAGAAGGAGGCGTGAGATTCGTCTCTTGGAGTAAATGGATGCAAGGGTGGAGGAATGGAAGGAAGGAGCAGCTGGACGGACGGTATCATCGTCGTTCTCCCTCGTGATATATAGGGGTGGGCTATGCGGGTAGAGTGATTGGTGGATATGTTTGTGTTTGGCTGTGGCTGGCTGTGGCTGAAGAGTGTATATTGTGGGTTGGGGAATGGTGTGGGTTAGCGGGAGAGAGAGTGTGAGGCGGGGGTATAAAGGTTTTGAGGTGTGGTTGGTGGCTTGGTTGGTTGAAGGGTGGTTTAAGGGGGGACTATTTACCTTCTCCCTCGTGATATAAAGGGGCGGACAAAGTGGTGGTAGCGAATGTGTTTGTGCCTGTGGCTGTCTGTGGATTGAAATGGGTATATCGCGGGTTTGGGGGCAGGTTGTGGGGTAAAGGGAGAGGGAGTAGTGGTGGGATAGTGGTGATGTCGTGGGTCTGAGCTGTGGTTGGTTAGTGGTTTGAGGGAGGACTGGATGGGTATGGCGGGTATTTTGTGGAGAGGGACGATGGCGTTTAGAGGTATATTGGGGTTTAGGCGAGAGGTTGTAAGAGAGAGGGTTGAGACGGTATGTTGCGCTTTTTGTGTCATTTGAGGAGGATTGGGTAGGTATGTCGAGGAGAGGGAGGATGAGGATCGTTTGTCTTTGTGCAGAAGGAGTCCAGTGGTGGCCGCAGATGTATAGTGATGCTGTTTTCCTGGAGGTTGACTTTGGTAGTAAATTGTTTGCTTCCGCGACTCTGCATGAGTTGGGTGAGAAGAAATAAATTGTGGGTTAGAAAAGAAGGTGTGGGGTGAGGGTTGGGATAGCGATGTTGCGTTTTTTGGAGCGCTTGGTAACTTGAGGGATTGGTAAGTATGTTGTGAAGAGCGAGGATCTTGTGTGTGTGTGTCGTTGTATACCTAGCCAGCCATTGTTCTGGTGCCTTCAAGCCAAGCAGTATCAGAGTCACATTCTCGAGATTCACTGCCTCCTGTTCTTCCACTAGGATTTACGGAAAGATCTCGTCTTACCTCTCCTCGATCGCCGCCTGACTGTCCAGCGACGAATAATTGGGAAAAGCTCTGGGCTTCCTTCTAATTTGGTTATTCTGCAACTAGCGTGGTTGTTCCTTCTTTGGTAGTGCAAGCTGTACGACCGTTCGACTTGATACAAGCACCTTTGTCCAACATCACCCCCGCCTTCCTTAAATTACCCATCCAACTTCAATCTTTTAACTTTTCCAGAAGCACTTCTTTCTTCTGCCCATTCGAGCCGCTACGTAATCCAAATTCTTCGATCTACAATGGGTCTCAAACTTGAAGTGTGCGGCGATGCTGACATGACACGTACTTTTGCCATCATGAGCGAGGCATTCGGTCATGAACACCCCTATATCGATGCTGCATTCCCTGAACACGACACGCCCGCCGGCCGCGCTTCTGGAGGAAACCGAATGCTCGCTATCAAACACGCTGATCCCAACACTACTTTCCTCAAAGTCACCGACATTGACACGGGACTAATGATCGCTCAGGCCAAATGGAACATCTACAAGAATACCATCCCACCAGAGCTTGATCTGGATGGCGATTTCTGGGAGAACGATGAAGAGAAAGAATACGCCCAACTCTTGTGCAGGGAGTATCTCATACCCCGCAGAAGAGCAATCAAGGCGTCTGGCGGCAATTTGTTATGTAAGTAGTCTCATTTGGAGAGGAGTCGATCGATTGCCCTTCGAGCATACGGTATTCTATGACTGCTACATGTGTTAATGATTCACAGCACTCGATCTCCTCACGGTAGATCCTCAATACCAACGTCGCGGCGCTGGCCGGCTTCTCGTCAAATGGGGAACTGCTCTTGCAGATGAACTTGGTTTTATGGTATACACACGATTCTTTATGAGATGTCCACCAGAACTCACTCGTACATGTCACAGGCTGTAGTTGAAGCAACTGAGCAGGGACGTGGTCTCTATGAGTCGGAAGGATTTAAGGCCATCGATCACTGGCAGACGAGACTTCCTGAGAAGTGGGCAGGCAGGGGCAAGCAAGGTTTCTTGTGGATGGTAAGGCCAGCAAAGAAGTTGTGATGTTGCCGCGCGCTTGGTGAACATACTGGTGGGCAGGCAGAGGGAGACAGAGTTGCTTATGAATGTCAGAATGGTGAGGCTGCAGAAGAGCCGTAAGATTGCGAAGCGCTTGCTCAACATATTTCTTACGTTGCGATCCTAGTCTCAAATGTGACTCTTGCAAAAGTTATTGGTTTGATGCTAGTCCGTGCTGCCTTACTATATGTCCTTCCTGTCTCTGGTGGTTGTGATTCTGAGAATCCTATTACAGCACGAAAGCTTCCGAGCTTTCTTATCCCAAGAACTCAGGCATCCCACCTTCAGGCATCATTACCATACTTTACCGCAACCGTTGTGGACTGTTGTATAACCAATCCCTCCCCCAAGACATCAGACTGCACTGAAACTTTCAGCTGATCCAATTTCCGGGGACTCGCAGCCGATGCCCTGTGGCCCAACCGTGCCCGTCTGGTCTGATATCCGAGTTCCCCCCCCCTTGTGTGGTGTAGACTTTCTCTTGTGTCTTCCAAGCGGATAGCTCGTTGATCGCAGTAGCGCAGAGCCACCCATAGAGCGAAGATCGCCCGCCAGAATCCCAGTCTGCAGACTGTCCATGATTGGTTTCAAGAACGGAATTGCAGTGACGATCACGCTCAAGTTGATGAGGAAGGAAGTCGTCAGTATGATTGCAAAATCCTGATAAGTATGATCGACCGATTTGGAATTGTCGTGAATATATATGATGCGTATGACGCTGACTGGGATAAGTCTGGTTCACACTCAGTATATGGAGCACGACGGAAGACGTATCTAACTTACAGCGTCCTTGACCCAAAAGCAGCTATTGTGTAGAATTTCTGGCTTCGCCGCAATTTGATATCATGCAACAGATATATTGGAAGGCAAATGGTGCACACGTCCAAGAAGATATCTATCACAGTAAAGGCGTCCCAGAATACCACCTAAGTTTTCATTGGATGCATCCGAGAGATCGGTGAACTACGTACCTGGTCGAAACATTTCCCTGAGAACATCTCCCACGGATTGGGTATTCCGCACTGAAATGCAAGGCATAATAGCAACATGGCATATGCCACGACATTCAAGACTATGACCGATTTGATAACTTTCAGTCGGATATCATGGCGCCCCAGAACTGCATAGAAGTGTAACAGCACCATCTTTGCCACGCAAAGAGATGCTGTCATGAGTAGCTGCGATGCATATTCTGCCTTGAAAACGATTTATTAGTATTCTTGCTATGTTTTGCTTTTGCCATACCTGCATGGCAGTCACTGAGAGGGGACGGGTGAATAAGGGTAGTAGGACTTTTTGGTACCGCAAAATATTATGTCCAGACAAAGTAGACTGGTGTTGGCCTAGCCCAGCCGCAACTTGCATAGATACAGCGATATCATAGGCAATCGTAATGACCTAAAACTATCAGCAGGTAGATGAAGGTAGGGAGAGCAAAATCCTTACTGTCGCAATTGCCATGAACAAATCGTCGAGTCCAAAGGTTCGTGCTATGACCCATTTGCTGAACAATTTGACAAAACTGGCCAGACACATAATTACCATCAAAATCCATGTTGCTATGTTGATCCAGGATCCTCGAGCGTCCGACGTGATTTCAATAATACCGGATGAAGCCATGGTATTTGTTCACAACAAATTGGTCGCCAAAGAAGAAAACGAAGTCTTATGAAGAGGGGCTGACAGAGAACAATACGAGATAGAATTCGAAAGTACAAGTCCGGAAAATTTGCCCTCGTGCCATGTAGAAGACTTCTCATGCGCAATTCCATATTTAATACTTGGCAGTTGGAAGAAGTTCACAGAAACACCTGCATCCCACGAAATTTCGACATTGGATATTACCTTGTGCCATCTTTTCCGGCATGTGAAGAGTAGATGCCTTTGAGGTTGGGCAAGGTCTCCTATCTTCGGTCGGTGCTGCCAAATGGTGCAGGAGCTACGTGGATGCCCAGAATGCACCTCTGTGCCTTAGTGCTGGCCCCAAATCGGGTCCGAATACGATAATATGTTATACAAGACTGATTTTAGCCAACAATGTCAAAGGGCGTCCTCAAGATAACAAGCAAATCGCTCCATTACAGTAACGCACTGCTTACTTGTGCGGCTACATGCCTTTGGAACGTTTGAATACCCGCATCATACGGGCCGAATGAAATAAATGATGAGTGAGGAATAATGCTTTGTGCGAGGGCGGGAAGGAGGGTGACACAAGCTTCACAACATGACCCCCTTCTCCACGGAAAACACCACAAGATAATTATGAACCAATTATTTCGGTGTCTTTTCATAGGATTAGGAGGTGGCGAGACTGTCGGAGGCGCAGCGACGAAAAAGGGAAAAGTCGGCACTTCTATTTGACCAAGGAGGACGGATCGTTCCACCATTGTCCCCATTTCCTGTTGATCACTAAGTTATTGTACACTAAAAGCTTCTTTGTATCTCGACAGGCTTCGAGAACGGTACGACCCGTTCTTTAATTGGATTTTCCGACGGGAATGTCTCAGCCACGTGCTCTGAATCAGAGTGGGTGCTGTCAGCTTGGTGGAGGGCCTTGCCCATTTTCATTTCAAGAATTGAATAACAAGACTATGTGCAGCTGATTGCCCATGAAGCATTTTGGCAAATTGCAATCATGTCTCAGAGAGAAGATACTTACGCTATGTCCGCTTTGCCCGTACCAGAAGAAAACGACGGCACAAAGATCCCAAGTACCAACACTGTGAACCGCTGTGTTTACCCTCGCGATGAAGCAGTATTGGCACGCTTTGGCAAGAAACAACAGCTGAATGTGAGTATTCTGGACTTGGATTTCCTTGCATCTACGCGGGATATTTATTAATTCTGCCTCACAGCGAAAGTTTGGCCTACTTTCAATCGTAGGCCTTACCTGTACCTTGATGATCACCTGGGAAGGTACTTTGACGTCCGTAGAGACCGTTCCACACAGTTCTGAAAATGATTTTAATGTACTTGACAGCGTTTTTCAACTCGGGCTGACGAATGGTGGACCCTCCGGATTGGTTTATGGTTTCTTGTTTGCTTGGATTGGGACTGCTTTACAGGCATTAGTGATGGGTGAAATGGCATCAATGTAATCGACGCCAAATAACTGTTGTCTTTACTGGAGTTTGCTGACCACTAAATAGGATACCTCTTGCCGGCGGAGCATACAATTGGTCTGCTATCATACATGGCAACTTTGATCATCATGACCACTTCCTAACCTTTCATAGGGTCGCAATACTTTCACCTCCTTGGTGTTCAAAGTTCCTCAGCTACTTAACAGGTTGGATAACAGTCATTGGGTGGCAGGCTGCGCTGGCGAGCTCTGCTCTGCTGGGAGGCGTCATGATCCAAGGCCTTCTGGTGCTGAACTATCCCACATACGTCTTTGAGAGATGGCATGGCACGCTGCTGTTGTACGCTCTCATTGTCATCGGACTGGTGATAAATACGTGGCTTGCGCGCTTGCTACCGCGGATTGAGGGGCTGGTTCTAGGAATTCACGTCATTGGTTTCTTCTGCACGTTGATTCCTTTGGTTTATCTTGGTCCACATGGCTCTCCCTCTGACGTCTTTGCTGCTTTCAACGACGGCGGCGGTTGGGGATCCCAAGGACTGTCTTTTATGATTGGATTGTCAACGAGCATGTTTGCATTCATTGGCTTTGATGCTGCAAGTCACATGGGTAAGTGTTTTCTCATTTTCTTACTTCTGAGAACGAAGTGAGATAGATTTTTATGCTTTTTTACTGAGTGCGATATGCAGCGGAGGAGATTGAAAGAGCAGACATAGTCATACCAAGGAGTATAATCGCTTCCGTAGCGCTTAACGGTTCTCTTGGATTTGGAATGGTAATCGCAACCTTGTTCTGTATAGGGGATGTAGACGATGCCTTGGCGTCAGCAACGGGCTTCCCCTTCATCCAAATATTTCGAAATGCCACGAACTCCAACGCAGGTGCGAGTGCGATGACATCGATGATCATTGCTGCTATGGTCTTCGCCACCATTGGGTTTCTCGCGACAGCATCCCGTATGGCCTGGGCTTTTGCTCGAGAAAAGGGTCTTCCTGGTTACAACACCTTAGTAAAGGTACGCATCATCTGGCATGAAGAGATCACAGGACACTAAGATGGTGAATCAACACAGGTCCAAACTAAATCAGCTCTTCCAATGTATTGCATCGGACTCTCCACCATGATCAGCCTTCTGTTGGCTCTTATCAACATTGGCTCCTCGACAGCCTTCAACGCTCTCACCTCCCTCGTTATCTCTGCATTCTATTCATCCTTCGTCATTTCTGCGAGTGTATTGCTACATAAACGACTCACAACTCCCGAGCACGAGATGAATTATGGGCCTTTCCGGAATAGACATTTCGGTATTCCGATCATCATCGGATCAATTGTTTACAGCGTGATCGGCATCTTCTTTTCATTTTGGCCAGGCTCACTAAACCCAACGCTTGTGAACATGAATTGGTCAGCTCCTGTTTTTTCCGGTGTAATGGTCTTGAGTATGGGTTTCTGGTTTATTCATGGACGCCGGGTGTATACTGGTCCGATCATTGAGGTCGATTCAAGGGAGATGAGTGGGTAAGTTGACCCACCCCAGTTTCGGCCACTTTTTCACACCAAAACTGTCACAGCACCGGCTGAGACGATGCGGCTGAGACGATGCTCGCTTACGCCCTCAGAAACCGTCCTTACCAAAACGGTACGGTTAGGGATGGAGGAATTGGGGTGGGTCAACTTAGAGCCGTGCGACGAAGACTAGTTTGGAAGATTCTAGCTACTATATCCATGAGTTCACATGTCACCCACCACTGCACCATTGCCGGAGATTGTTCAAACGTTGCGCAAGGTGCCATATCACTTTCTGTCATTTCGCCCAAGTCACCTGGCTCAATAGCTGCGACAATGAAGTGAAGTCATTTCAAAGCTCCTAAGCAAAAGCATCTGGTACTTATCACATTGATTTGAATTCATCTCACTGTCTCTTTCATCATGCGAAGTTCCAATCTTCACAGTATTGTTCCACCGGGTTTCATCACCCCACCGCAAAGTTTGGTCCTGAACGTTGCCCTCTAATATTCACCGACCACGTCGTCATCAAACAAGCTCTTATGCCCATGCCTTTCAAAATATGCCTTCATCGTGTTGTAATGAGGAGAATCTTCTGGGCAGAAAGCGTATTGCTCCAAACGGTGAGATATTGGTCTATAGTCTGTGATCATCTCATAACAAGAATGACGTTCTGTCGCGCGGGACCAAGAAATCAAGTCATCCCAGCTTCGACAAGACATGACTTGCTGGTCACCGATAGCATGAGGCCGATCTTCTGAGGGCATTAAAGTGTCATCCGCTTTGCACATTATGTCCTGACGCAAGATATTGAGACAGTGATAAATATGTTTGCCAACGCGGCTGTTCTTGTCGACTTTGACGGGGGCTTGGAACTCTCTGTACATTATCTTCTGCGCTCTAAGTCAGTGGCTGCAGTAGGTTTTGAAGTTTGAAAGGATCAAAATCTCTGTGTATAAGAGAAACGGGTGCATTGCATAGCAAGAATCAAGAAAATAGCGTGAACTTACCAAGCAGTGCAAGTCATGAAATGCTTTGATATGATATAGTCCTTTCCCATCATCCCACGGAAATGGCACGGAACGTGCTAACCCGTGGCTGTCCGTGTAAGCGTGGTCAAGGGCCACGACTATGGGGCTTGTATCGAGACTCTCCCAGTACTCGGTAGCCAGTGTCTGATTATGACCCCAATTCGTATGATATGTAATGTCATGATTCTGAGGCAATCCGGCTAGATGTGCACGATCAGTGACTGGTCTATTCTGCTCTGCAGCTTTCGTCTTGTTGTAGGAAGTTGATACCAGAAATTCTCAGAAGGGGATTTACGAAAGTGTAGCAAGTCTACTCACTATATTTGGAAGGGCAATCAAACATCTGCGACCGAATACATTTGACCATCACCGCGAGGAAGACATTGGATGTCAACAAGATGGCAATGACGGTACCGATGAAGAATTTGTAGCTGCGTCCTCTCGGCCGGGATAGGTCGCTGACTTCATACTTTTGATAGTATGCTTCATCTTGTGGGAGAAGGCTTTCGTTCTCAATGGTCATCTCTGTCAGAGACAGAGAACTATTGCTCGCCAACTGCTTGACTTCAGTTGATGAAAACATCGTAAGAGTTGAATAGTTGTCCGAAAGGATCTCATGAAAAAAAAAAAAAACTACGGCAAATGGGAGTCTTTGCGAGCTGTACATAGGCACCCCTGTCAGCAGGACCTCCAAGTGGGAGGCTGAGCTTCCTTTGTCTGGTGTGCCTATGTTTGTCTCAACGCCCCACGATTGCTCTGATCAACTGAGCTGCCATACAAGTCGACGTCTGACTCATTGGAAAGATGAAGAGGTGCATGTAACGTTGTAGTGATGAAGAGGTACATGTATCGTTGTAGTTGTCAATATTGGGTTCACGAAAGCTGCAGCTTGCATTCTACAAAAGTCGTACCAGATCCAGTATGCATGGACGAAGTCCATACCGGGTGACTATGCCGTACCATTTATATGCTTATCTCCAACGTATCATGGCCAAAGAGTTATCTTTAGGCTCACAAAAGTCTACCTTCTTGCTCTGCATATTGTGTTCTTCTGGAATCTTACAATGTATGTGGTCTGATGACCAAGAATGCCCAGAAATTTGGGAAACAATGTACATGTGCCACCTAGGAAGTCATTTGCACTCTTCCTAGGTGGTACAAGGTGCTTCCAGCGACGCTTCCATTTTGGACTGTGCGCTCGTTCCGAGCTTGTGACATCTACCATTTTATAACTGTTCGTCGCCCCCCTAGAACAATCCCTAGAACAACCAGAAATCTGCCTCCGTACTGGACCCATCAAGCCCTTGAAAACACACCAACAGGTAAACTCATTTAAGACAGTCTCTTCCCTTCCTTCTGACGCTTTTCTCCAGGTATCTTTGTGTCGAGCCGTCATGTATTTCACCTCCTATCTCCAAATCCTGGCCTTGAGCTTCTCGGCAATCACTATTGCAATACCAATTGCCCCTCGAGTTGCTCCAAACATTGAACTCGAGGTTGCGGACCCAATTCTCGATATCGAAGCTCGAGCTGCCCCAGACATCACTTTCGAAGTTGCCGATCCGATCGTCGATATCGAGGCACGAGCCGCTCCAGATATTACACTCGAAGTCGCTGATCCAGTTGTCGACATCGAGGGCTGAGCTCGTGCAGATGTCGGAGTTGGAGTTGCATTTTACATCCAACAGGCAGGAAACATAGGAAATGTATTCAGTCTTCTCACAAATCTTCCGTCTTCAACAAGATATGATGTCGAATGTGACTCTTGAACCAACACTCTGCAAGTGAAGTCCCATTTTACCCTTAGCCAAAACAGGTGAACTCTGGAGCGTTGTGTCCATACTGCAATTGACTGCAGCTGGCCTAAATCCTATTCGACGCAAATAAGCGAAGATTCCATGACTATCTGCTCAAAAACCATATTCTCGATGCAGGCTGTGCTATTTTTACAAATTGGACCTCTTCACATGTACACTCCGATCAAAAGAGCTTGATTGTTCCTTGATTATCCATGAATCACCCGTAGAACGGGTTTCCACCGCGCACAACGGTTTACAAGCACACGCTGCCTATGCCAAGCTTCAAAGTGCCGCTCAATGTCCAATTGGTCATGGGGAAGCGTGACGCCTCTGTCCTACATGTAAACCTCTCATTGAGCTTAAGTTTGGAACAACGATTTTTGCAAAATAAACAATAACCGGCAGAACGCATGCAGAGTTGGGTCAAGGTCAAGGGTATAATCCAAAATTAATGTAAGCCTCTTTGAGCCTTGTTGGCATCTTATTTGGGTAGGTGTCACAAAATACACAACGACCCGGCAGACACCCAGACTAAAAAATTATGTCGGGTACATCCGGGCTGAGAACAACCTGAGCGGTCAATATGTACAAGGCGTATGCACACTAAACGTTCATGCATCCAACGACGCCAACCGATCGTGGCGCCTAGAACCAACATACCTTGCACCAATTCTCTTGCTCCAATCATCAAGACATAAGATGCGTCGAATGGAGGAGGTACTCCTTGCTCAAAGCAAGTACTGTACATGGGAAGTAACCGCAAACTTTCCAAACTAGTGAAAAGACACAGAGAACATACGACGGCCGCCGAGCTGCTGAAAACGTTGGCGATTGCAAGACCGCAGCTGTGAGTCCAACATTCTCACTCTAACATCATCCCGTGTCATCGGATACGATGCGGGTGGCACCTTCCCTTAGTGACGTGTTTTATAGCTTCTCTGCTACCCGAAACGATACCGATCAAACACGATTTAAGCGGGACACTTCCCACTGAAAAACTTCCATCCACAATGACTATGGATGAAGATACACCTGCATCGGCGCCTTTCGAAATGACTTCCAAAGCAGAGGGAGACATCGAAAATGAAGCTGCTCCTACTATGGAAACTCCCAAACAGACTGTTTTCCAACAGAAAACCATTCTAATTGCTCTGTGTACAACCAGTTTCGTCGTATCTATCGATACCTTCATCATGACCAACGCACTCCCAACGATAGCAAAAGACTTTGGTATATCCAACGCCGGATATGCTTGGATCGGATCTGCATACATGCTGAGTTTTGGGGCCGCACTCCCAATGTGGGCTAATTTCAGCAATATATGTGGACGGAGAGCTGTACTCATCACAACGGCTACAATATTTCTCATTGGCACAATCGTGGCCGGATTATCGAGAAGCAATGCTGCTTTAATTGCTGGTCGTGCTGTGCAGGGTATTGGAGCAGGAGGCTTGTCTGTCCTCGCAAACATTGTCGTGGGTGACGTATTCACTGTCAGGTAAGTGATCATATGTTTTCAGGCTCGAGACGTAACGTGTTGGCTTACACAACTCATAGGGAACGCAGTGTCTACTTTGGGATTGTTGGCTGTGTGGCTGGGGTTGCTTCTTCTGCTGGACCGACAGTGGGAGGGATATTGTCCCAAGTTGCGAGCTGGCGCTGGGTCTTCTGGATAAACCGTAAGTGCTTAACGGCTGCACAGCGAAACAGTACTGACAAAGTCCTGAATAGTACCATTCATCGGCATCGCCCTTTTCGTTCTGGTGCTATTCCTCAGACTAAAAACGGACCACGCCCCGGTCATCTCGGGGTTACAAGAGATCGATTGGGCCGGGATTCTCAGCATCATCGGCGCAACACTTATGTTCCTCATCGGCCTACAAATGGGTGGAACAATAGCTCCGTGGAACTCGATACGTGTCATACTCTTGATCCTATTCGGCATCATCGCTTACACAATGTTTGTGGTCATCGAATGGAAAGTTGCGAAGAGGCCGTTAATGCCCCTCAAATTGTTCACTCGGGTTTCATATCTTGCTATCTTTGGAGTCAACATCTCTCAATCGTTCATCACGACAGGATGCACTTATTTCTTGCCTCTTTATTTTCAGATTGTTCTGGGTGCTTCCCCGATCATGTCAGGAGTTTATTTCCTACCAACTACTCTGGTCCTAGCCTTGTCCTTCGTATTCGTCGGTCACATCGTTAAGCGGTCTGGTGAGTACAAACTCTTAGTTCAAGTGGGAGCTTGTGCACTCGTCGTGAGTACTGGGCTGTTCATCCATCTTGGGTCTCATCTAGACTGGCCGGCGATGATCATCGGACAGATACTGGTGGCATGCGGACTTGGCCTTACATACAGGGCACCCCTGATTGCCCTTCATGCTCAACTGGAGGAGGAGGATGTTGCGAACGGGACAGCTACTTTCCAGCTTTTAAAGACGTTGAGTCAGACAATCAGCGTCATCCTTGGTCAAGTCATCTTTCAAGCCAAAGTTCAAAAACAGATATCATCATTAGGTGGCCTTGATCTAGCACCCGGTTTCCTCTTGGCGCTGAGTTCTGGAAATACCATCTCGGTCAGTTCATCGATTGCGAGTATGGGAATAGAACAGCAGGGAGCTGTTCGGGGTGTCCTCGCAGCAGCATTCAGTGAGATGTGGATATTCTATCTGTTGATTGCTTTCGGAGGTTTTGTATCTAGTTTCTATATTGCGAAGGCCAAGTTCTAGTCGTAGATAAGGTTTTCGACATCATGAGATAAAGCGAGGGTTGTGGAGGGGTCATTGGTAGGAGAGGAAGGTGGCGGAGAGGATGGGGTTTGGTTTTTGAGGGGAGCACGGAGAGGGGTACGTTTGCTGCGCTTAAATTTGGAAGCGCGCGCCTCGGTGCGAGTGCCAAAGCGGACAACTGGAACCCGTCTCTTCGATGTTCAATCTTCATCATCTATGCCCCTCCTCCTCCACATCTACACCTACATCAGCATCTGCATCTTCATCTTTAAGAAGACCGACCGCCACAGAAACATATAATTCTACTCGTACCACGTCTGCGTCTGCAATGATAAGAGCTGCTTCGCCATCATCTACAACCTCCTCCAACGATATGTACCTCGACACCTCCTTTCTCCAACAGCAGCGACAACGCGAATCTTCGGCTGGCGCATTCGACCACAGCAAAGAGGATCTGGTAATCGTCGACATTATTGCTGACCGATTGCGTGATAAACTCTGCGAGCTCGAGGCCGGCCATTTGCCGTCGCGGTTGATAACATCAGATGAGTTGTAAGAGCTGAGGCCACCGGGAATGGCCCACTTAAGCGAGACGCGGTAACGCGTAAAAATTCTACACCCCATTTTAAAACCCTTACTACACAACAACCCTCTTAGGAATTAGTCCATAATTCAAGATGGAGACACATCTTATCCTAAGTGATCCTATCGAGAAAGAGAATAATGAATGGCCTACCCCTGCACGTGCAGTCATTCGATCTCTATAGCGCTAGGGAAAGTCGCAACGCGAGATTGTCTCAGAGACCCATATCCCTCGAAGAACAGTAC